AACTCATGAAAACTTTTCATGAAAACATTTGGTGAAATAGGCTGCAGACTATGTCAGAATCTATGAGTGTCGGTGACCCAATGTCTAAATCTGAGCACCTAGAATATAATTTATTATGAAAATTGTTGTCATAAAATCAGCAGATTCGTTTTTCTAGCAAAAAAACATGTGTTTTCAATTTTAATACAAATGAAAAGGCTCGGTAATTTTTTTTCAGTGTTCATTTTATTGTTTATCACAGCCAAAGAGGCTAAAAATTGGACATTTTTCAAAACAGTTGTTCACTATACAATAAAATACAAAACATCCGGGACATCAACTACTTTCATTTAAATGTAAATTATTGCAAATCATACGAACGGAAAATGTGATGCAAACTAAATAGTTCATTTTTTTTGCTATTGTTCTATTTTTCTTTGTTTGTTTTGTTGTGTCTTCTTTTTCTCTGTGTAATTCAAATTAAAAATAGTTCGTTCATATGTGGATACAATGTTGAATGTGTGTTATAAATTAGTACACGTCAAATGGAGAAACTAAAATAAATTATCGTGCTTTTGCTTAGAATTAACAGTTAGATTGATCTTTACAATGAATGCACACACCGTCACCAACCGGAGAGGGGAAAAATGCTGTAAACCAGTTACAGTCAATACACAATCAATAACTGAAAACATTGGAATATCGTGTTCTATGTGGAATAAAATCGGTAATGTGACACCATCTCATCCGATTCCTCTTCTCTTTCTTTTTTCTTCTTTACTTTTTTTTTGGCAAACACATATATTAACCTACAATTGAACTAATTTTGCCCACACTTGCTCCGATTAAATGCACACGTCGAGGCCATATAGTAAAACTTATCTAAAATATTTGCATTGCATTTTCATTTGTCGAAACAAAGAACAAAGTCCATGCGTTTTGTACAATTTTTTGTCTTTGCTTTCGAGATGCTAAATTCTATCATTAAATTAATTCACTACCAATTTTCTTTTCGTCTACGTTTAGTTTTATTTGGTGGTTTATTTTTTCATGATCTAAATATATATATATATACGGTCAGTTGAAAGCCGTGGGCAAGAATCAGAAATATCTTGTTCTCGTCACACAAAATCAAAATTTGGAATATGAAAAATCGGCTTGCGTGTGTAATACACTGTGTATATAAAAAAAATTTAGTCAAAAAAATTGTTCAGTTGACACGAACGAGCGAACAGGAAAAAAGGGATTTAAAAACGAGGTGTTCAATCGGTCATTTAAATCAGATGGGAAAATTGGTTTTAGTCATTAAAAAAAAAATTATTAGTCTAATTATTATTTACATTATTTTCACATTCTTAGTTTCATTTTTTTTCAGCTTGTATAACGTCCGTTCTGTTTTCCTGTCTATATTTCTATTTCTGGTTTATTTAAAAGGTTATCGGAGGACTTTGTTTTGAATGAAACGGATAAAGAGAAAATATAACAATTCGTAGGAATATAAATGCGTTTCGAAATTTAGACTGAATTATCTATCATTTATCTTGGAGGCAAGCAAAAATGATTCAAACTAAATAAATAAAATAATGCATTCAAAATTGAATGCACGAAATTTAAAAAAACAAAAACGAAAAAAACATAAAACTTGAATACCAAAACTTAAACCTGAATCTTGAAGCACCAAAACATATTTTTTCTAAGCATTTTCATTTGTTCCATATCTTTCTCATTGATCTACATATTGATCTCGTTACTATTATGTATATTTATGTATAAATAAAATGGAGTTTGTTTTATCGTTTATTTAGCTCCAGTTCATTAGCTCCAAGACAGATCGTAGCCTCTCCAATTACTTGATGGAGCTAAATAAACGCGTTGATTATTGTAATAGAATGATACAATGCCTAAGTAGCCGGTTCGAGGAACTCCACTCTGCAAATGAAAAGTGAGCAAATTAAGTGAAACGTTTCATTGTTCAATAATGATTGACCGTCAATGGGAATTTGTGTGGGTGTGTGTGCGGTATACCTTGAAATCATCCATTAGTCCCAGCAACTTAGCAGTTCGTTTGTATTGATCTTTGGTATTGTATTGAATTCGAACCGGACCCTTCACCGACACCAAGCCACGTCGTACTTCCTCAAACGTCAGCACTGGGCACGAATACACGTGGTTCAGAAATTGCTTATCGTAGTTTTGCTATCAAATTACGAACCAAAAATACAATTTAAATTGAAATCATTTATGGTATGCTTTTATCTATAATAGAAAAATACACATACTTTTAACAAGTGCGTTAAATTCATTTTCGTGAATTTGACCATTTGTTCGTTGAGCTTTATGTATCGCAAATGCTTATCAAAAAACATTCCACTGAAAGCGAAAAGTAAGATAAACGTATAATGAATGTTTCTGATAATGATGCAATAACAGAAAGGGAAAAAAGAGAATCAAAGAAAAAACAATTCAATTTATTTTGAATAAATCATACTTTGATACGCCGATTTTGCCAAATGTTCGTGTCCGTGAGATTTCCGGGCGAATGCAAGCTCGTTCTTTTCGTTGTTGTGGCTGTCGAATCCAATCATCCCAGAATCTGTTATTATTTTGGGATAAATCGTTTAATTTAAGTTCGTTTTGAACCGATTCTCAGAAGGAATATTCAATTTAAAAAAAAATTTTTCCTTGACAATTTCGCAAGATGAAATGGAAATTGAATTGCCATGTCAAAAAGTCTAATCGATGCTTACGCTTTAGGCCATTTCGGTGATAGTTCGGTCCATAGATTTTTGGTCAGCATCCAGCCAAGTCCTGGGAAAAAGTCAGTGCGATAAAGTAGTTCAGGGCTAGATACATCAATATTATTGCTTTTGCCATTGTCATTCCAGGCCGACACACACCATAACGACGAATCATTTTTCAACAATTCATGCGTGCCCATAAAATATTCAAAAAAGTCTGGCGACACATTTAAGTCATCTAAAAAAAAAAAGGGATGAGAAACAGATTGTTTGGTTAATCGTGCGCAATGTCTGAATAAATTTATCGATCAATCGCAACGTCACATACCTTCAACAATAATAACGTATTCAAAACCAGCTTTAAATGTGGTGTTGAGAGCCCATCCATAATGCCGTGCAATTTTGTAATATCCCTTGAATTTTTTCTCTTTTGGTAATACGAAAATATCACTTTGATCGGGATGACGCATGAATGTGATATCCTTGTATGATTCGATCACTTTTTTGGTGGGTTCATCATTGCAATCCTTCATAGTAATCCCACAGCAGCAACAAAAGCAACAGCAGCAACAAAAGCAACAGCAGCAACAAAAGCAACAGCAGCAGTAAAACGGAAACAATAGGAACGATAAGTAAAAATAAAACAATTGAATGTCGAGTAGTTGATTAAAAAGAACGAGTGACAAAAACTAAATAAAACCGCCTTCTGTTTGATTACACGCATTTTCGAGTGTTGACTACTCAACTTGATGGGAATTACACTTGAAGAAATGTGTTTACACAGCTGAAATTGTGTGCACTTCGAGTGAGTATTGCTATGGCACACAAGTGAACAATGTTGCAATTGGCCGTTGCAATATTACCCGTTGGCATCACAATGTCTGTTCAATAAATTTTTTATTGTGGCTTATCGTCAAGTCTCAATTCCATGCTATTTAAATGTCTCTCTTGTGGAAGCGACATTCGAACAAAAGTTTGCGACAATTCGGTTTTTTCTCTCTAGAATTTAGTTTTTTGTTTTCATTCTAATAACTAACCTGTGATACAATGATAGGAAATTGTTCGGCACTGGTTCGATATTGGACTAAATCGTCTAAGCAATTGCTCACCGAAATTCGATTGCATGCAAATACGACAACGGGTATGATGGGACCTTTAAAGTCATGTTTGCGTTGATTGAGCTCCTTCAATCGATTTATAATGGGTGCATCAATGTCATTGAGCTCCGTTTCGGTGTTCGATGCTTTGATTTCATTATCAAGAATGTCTGGTGCATCCAAGCTATCGATAGCGTTTGGATGTGGTTTGGCCTCAACGAGAATCACATCGATGCCATTGCTATGTTTTGTTGTGACATTCTTGAGCTGAGTCACTTTGGCTGCAATGGCTGCACCATCTTTTTTATCCTTTAACCGTATAATTTCAATGAGCTTCTTCACCATAACATCATGTATCACATTCTCCTCTTCAATATTCGATTCGAGCCGATCCAATTGCCTGAGTAAACTATCACGATGGCGGCGTGCATCGACCGTTCCGGTTGCTGTTTGGTGATTGCTGCCATTCGACGAATCCGTTTGACGTATCAACAAATAATACGAAACGATTGTCCACGCACAAAGGAATAATGCGATAAGAAATGGCTTTTTCGTTCGCATTTTGGTCGCGTTTCACATAGATAAACTGCTGTGATTGTATGCCTTGCTTGCTCCAATAACATTATTAGTTTTCATGTGAATAACTATCATTTATTTACAATAATAGCATGGCATTCGTGTCATGCTACGTCTTTGATTGCTTACTATGCTACTAACTCGGGGCTTAAAACGGCAAAATTTTTATTGTTGTTGATGTATAGTGTCTTGGCTTTGCTTTGTTGTTTTTCTTTCGTGTGATGTTTGTGTTGGAGTTTTTTTTTTTCGGTCTTCCGATTCAATTAGACATTTCAATAACCTAATTAAAGCGCCGTCGGTGCTCGTATATTCGGTGAATTTATGTAATAATTTTAACCGTATGACAAAATTAAATACACCAATCAACTAGTAAATTGTCACAGCTCGAATTTTATTTCAGACCAAGAAAAAAGTGCTGATAGTATTTGAGCAAATAATTAAAATATTCGCAATGAATTGGGATAACTCTCCGTATATTATTGTATCTCTCGGCTGTCCGAGTGTTGAAATTTTTTCTGCTTTATTTTCTTTGCTGCTACTTTCTCTCAATTCACCCAAAAATGGTTGTCGATTTGCGAAATCAGTTCACTTTTTGACACGCACGAAATTTGGATCACGATTCCATTCACTAATGCACCCCTTTTGCCACAAGGAAAAAAAACACACACAACAGCAACACACATCAAAATCTCTCTTTTCTCACTTTAAAATTTGCTTATTGTTAATCAATAGAATCCAGCGATTGAATTACACTCGTTCTGTACTCGCTGCCTTTTTTTATTTAATTCATCTACACAGTTGAGTGCTCTCCGTGATCAGCGCTCGCTGGCATGTATGTGAGTGTGTTGCAGAGAAGAGAGACAACACACAATATTTTTGGTCGTGGATTCAATTTTAACGAGTATGCTGTGCTGTGTTGTGCTTTTTTTTTCTCTATTCTATTTTATGTGACGTTTCAGTTTGTTCTATCGTGTATAGTAATTGTGTGTACTTTATGTGTACCATAGACTATTTGGTTCATACTAGCCATACACACATATCGGTATGTAGTGGAGCAACGGAGAAACGTCGACGGCATCGGCTTCGTTGGCTTTGATTTATACCAAACGTCAAATTAAACAAAAATAAATATGGCGCTCGGCTAGAACATATGTCATTCATGTACGCATGGATGGAAGAAAATATTGGGCGCTCACCTTACAACGAAAAAATAAAACCAGTGCTTTTTTCATATCACATCGAACTTTAGCACGACTTTGGAATGTGGATTTGTATGCATTTTTTTTCGCATGCACATGCATTTTCTACCCATACATATTAGATGTGAAAATGATTTTTAATATCTTCAAACCGTACGTGCAAGTTATCTTTTCCTTAACTTGCTTCTCTTCAGCAGAAAAAAAAAACAACACAGAAATGAAATAGAAAAAAAAAATTTCGTTTGTTATTGTGATCAGACGTTTTTATTCGTTCTATCGAAATGCCAAAATGAATCAATATCACGTTTGTTTGTTTTGCTTTTTCTTCTTTTTTGTATAACGGTTAGGACAATCAATGTTTTGCTTGTTATTCAATTAGTTTCGTTTTTAACATATATACTTAAAATCTATGACTTTTAAAAAGATATATTAGATTATAAATGGGTCAATTATAAAACATATCATGGGCTGCAATTTAATTGGTTACTAGGGGCTTCGTTTTTTTTGTTTTGTTTTGTTGTTTCTGATGTTTCTTCTAAATCAGCAGGGCGTTTTTAAATATCATTATTGTTACGCCAATCGGACGAAGGTAAAAAGAAGAGAGACGATCGTAATTTGGATTGTGAATAATTTGGGAGCTGAGTTCTCGACCTGAGCACGAATTTGAATTGGCTCTTCGGCGATATCACTGGAACTGGACCGACGAATTAACGCCGATTCATTGTCATGGATACTTTGAAACACACTTCCGCGACTGTTGCGCTGCAATTTTTGATTTGTCGCTTTTAATTGTTCCAATTTGGAATCCAAATCGTTGGCAATTTCTAGACGAAAAAAAAAAAACAAACAAACCAAATTCGATTAGAAAAGTGTGATGGAAAAATCTTTTTATTTGAAAAACTCTACCTTTGCTCACTGGTTCGCCAACCACCCGAATAAGTGTTGACATTGAGAATTCCAATTCGGCTGATTGTGATGCAATTTCTCGCTTTCGTCGTCCATAGCCAATTTGACCGTTGCTACATGGAATACCTTTGCATTTATCGATGCAAGCGTTGACTGTTCCACGGAATTGCACGTACGTTGAGTCAGGGAATTTGAATGCACGGAATTTGGCCGTCAAAAAATCACCATCAACCGTGTTAAAATTTTCAAACAAAAATGGATCAACCGAACATCTGAATGTGATGGTAAAGTATTTTCATTCGTAATTTGCGTTTAAGTGTGTGAGAATGTGTTTATGAATGAATGCAAATTGTACCCATTAAAAATGATGGTTTCTTCTTGTGTTTTCGTGTCAGTAACTTGCATGTAAGTCACTCCCAAGCCGTACACTGGCGCTGAATTCTTGTCTAAATAGATTTCCATGGAGAGTGGTGTGCCCGGGCTGACATTCAATTCACCGTCAACGAGCTCACCGCCTTGCCGCACACCAACGCCCAAAATTGGAATTGGCGCATGATAATCTTGCAATGGTGTAATGTCCAATTCTCTGCCATAACAAAAAAAAAGAGGAGAAATTCAGTGGATTAAATATGACAAAGGGGTCACTGATTCCATTATAAAATCAAGTATTAACTCAAAGAACATTTTTTTTTCTTGTTTCGAACAATTTATTCATCATTTAAAAAATGAAAGTTAGTAAATATGCAAACTTGCAAAAAAAAGTAAAAATGATTTTTTTAAATCTTAGCTTATTCTTTGGAAAAGAATTTTGCGAAGCAAAAAATCGTCAATCAAGAGAGAGAGAGAAAAAATGTTCATTCAAAACGAAAAGAAGAAGAAGGCGAAAATCAACGGTAATTTTTCTGCGCAAACAATAGGCAAATTAATCATTTCTATATATATATATATATATATATACATACATTGGCTCCTCAAAACCGACGGGCAACACATCGCGTCTCGTGATGTTGTGCGGTGTCTTTGTCAAATTGTACGGCACTGATGTAATGCATTTAAAGCTAACGAACTCTTTGCTCGTCGGTGTTTCAATTATAACTTTGTGATAGAACACTTTCTTGCCCTGTAAAAAGAGAAAAAGACACAACCAAACATAAATGCGCATCAGTCATAGTGTGGGAAAAGACACTGACAAAAGATTTAAAGCCCTTTTGTTATGCTAAAATATATCAAGTAGAAGCGAAGTGGTTAATTAGATTTGAAATGTGGCATGGCTTACATTAAGTTTATAGACGACTCGTGTAACGCCACACTCATAAAAGTCACGCAGTGGCAATTGGAATTGGGCTACACCGTCTTTAATTGTTGGTTGGCATCTTGGATTTGGATATCCTTTCAAACCTTCTAAATATACATCCGATGGATTGATATTTTCTTCCGATAGAACAATATCGACTTTCATAAGATCTTCGCTGCATTGTACTTTTTGGGAACCTGAAACGAAGAAATTAAATTAAATTCAAATTCGAACATGTAAAATTTGTTCTACTTTCAAAAGAATTTTTTTTTTTTCATTTTGTTACAATAAAATTGGGATTGATCATCGATTTTTTACGCAAACATGGGTCGAAATACAACGGTAAATGTGCTGAAACATCCTATTACTTGGATTTATGGGAACTATATGGTTTGGATTCGAACACAATTCAAACAAGGCAACGATTTTAGAGAGTTCAAATAAAACATTTCGAATTGACAACAAGAAGAAGAGGAAAAAAAGAAAGAGAGAAAGATAAATGGAATAGAACACAAGAAGCTTAACGCGCACAAACCCGAAATGAGACTTGATTTCAAAGAAAGGCGGCTGTTTTGTACTGCAGATTTACTGATTTATTAGTCATACAATCAAGCTTATTTTGTGACCTCATCAATTTCTTTGATACGTACGTGATGGTTATGTTTGTGCACGAAAAACGAAATATAGTCGCTTGTGTTTTATGTTCTCTTCATTCCATCCAACCTTTTGAGATTGATTTTGTATGTGAATGTGAATGCGAATGCGCGCGCACAAGTTTGAGTGTATTGTGTCACCTGAACGGAAACAATACACGATCATCGCACACCATTCAAAATGGAAAAACAATGAAAATTGGAAATATCAAAGGTGACGATCGCCGCAAAATCGGGGTTATTACTTTTCACTTCACTGTGGATCGGGCCACATAAAGCTATTGGTGTACGATCGATTGTACATATTCTGTGCTCGTTTATAAATAAACGATTGGCTCAATCAAAATCACGACGATTAGTTTTGACGCAAGCACAGTTTGCCATATAAAACTTGGCGAGAGACCAAAGAGAGAGAGAGAGAGAGAGAGAGAGAGAGAGAGAGAGAGAGAGAGAAAGACGAGGGAGAAAAGGAGATAACGAAAGACAGATAGAATAACACTCAAGCGCACACTCTTTCAGTCAACGATCTGTGAGCTCGCTCACCAAAAATGGCACCAGAGATTAAAGCGATGACCAAAAACGGTAACCAAGATACCATTTCTTCATGGAAACGTTGTGCCATGGAACGCATTTTAATTGCTTTGCTCATCGGTTGCTGTAGTTGCGGTTTGAAAACGACAAACGATTTTGTGCAAAACGAACGGGCGAGAGAAAAAAAAAGGCAGCAGCCACCTGGAGTTATGGCAATTCGACTTCATTGGAAACGAAATCATCATCGCAAGTATACAAACAGAAAACAGTCAAAGCTGCTGCTGCATGGAGACACAGCGAAATGCCTGAGATGGCGAGACATAAAAGGATTTATCTCGACAAGTCATTTCGTTTGACATGGATAAACTTGCACAGCGCACAAAACCGACACAAAAATAGACAGGATGCATTTAAATCAATTACATCAACACACAAATCGCCGATCACTAGGTTTTTGTTGTATGTTCGAATGACTTGAAACGTCTCCTCAATGACGCGCTGAAAACCCCGTGTATTTTCGACACAGTCACGATGAGCGAGAATTGAGTGATGTTGAAGATACAGCACACACACACACATTTTCCAAGAAGCGAGCGATCGTAACACGCCTGCTTCAATTTAAAACTGTCGGAAAACGAAAAATGTGTGCCAAGAACTTTGCGCCGATCGTCTATTTATTTCTTTTCTCTCTCTCTCGGTTTTGTAAATTAAAATACAATACAAATGACTTTCGTCACGATTGCATTATGTAAAAAAAAGCAACAACACAAAAACGAAAAACACTCGAACGCAAAGACTTTTCACTGAGAACATAAATCATACATATATTCGGTCTTGAAGTTTCTCTTGCTCTCGCGCACACACATCGCATCGCATCGAACAAAATAGCATATTATTTGTACGTATAACTTATGTGTACAAACACGAAAAAAAACACACAGATTCAATTAGCATAATTGATAAGGTTTAAAACACAGAATACCTAAATATCAGCCTGACTCACAATTCTGTGTGGCTGTTGTCTTTCAACAGCCACACACAGAGAGAAAAAAAACAAACAGAAGAAGCCTCATTCGCGCTTAAAACACATCGCATATCTCTCTCTCTCCCTCGCTGCCGCGCAACAAATGAATGCGAATTGCGTCGATGCTGAATTCGTTTTACACATTTTTGCTGCCTCACAAATTAATTGCTCGCAACGCATTACGTAATTATATTGTTAAAATTTAATTTTCAAATTAGACTCTTTTTTTTCTTACTTTGTTGGCGTTTGGTTTCAGTTTTGTTAACCACATCGGTGGCTTATAATCTTTCGATAGCGTTCGAATGCGAACAACAACAATAGGAACAACAAAATCTATGACTGCGAATGAACGAACGAACGAACGAAAAAAAAACGGCCGAGAAAAAAAGCGAATGAAAAAAAAACCAGCATAGCACATAAAAACTGTATTCGTTTCATAGCCCATTTAAGCGAAAGCGTAGGCGAAATCATTCAAATGCAAACTGCAAAGTGATTGATCGTCTGATTTTCGAGACGAGTGATTCCAAAAAAAAAAACACCAACAACAACGATTTCAATGATCGACTGCTGTGGCTGTTGTTGCTGCTTTTTGTTGCTGCTCAGGGCTGCCTGGAGAGTTTTGTGTGTATGTGATGCCGAAGTGAAAAAATCCAGCGCAAGAATAGAGAAATACGCGAAATAATTGTTGCTTTGTTACGTTGAGGAGTTTGTAATTACGTGATTCTCAAAAAAAAAGCACAGAACTAAGTAGATTCGTAAGTAAGAAGCTGTATTATAAGAAGCAAATGAATGAAAAATCTCCGCGTATTTTTCAGCCAGCATTACAGCGAGAGATAGAGAGAGAGAGAGAGAGAGAGAGAGAGAGCATGAATAACGGTAAAACCAAATAACACGGTCCTATGATTCGGCTAACTAACACAACATGCGCTTAAATTTCAATGAGCACACAAAAAAATAATGTTATACCTATATAGATTGTGTTATTTTTTATTTTGGGCAAACGTGAGTTTCGCGAACTGCTGCTGCTGCTGCTGCTGCTCTTTTTGTCCAGTCACAATGTTTTTCTCATTACGAGTCGCATGGTTCACGCATAAATTATTCCAAAATTCTTTGGGTACGCACGGTTTTGCATGACCGCCGTTTTCCCGTAAATTCTGGAAAAAAAAAGAAAAACCACCGAAGAGAACACACGCCGATCTAGATATGATCTGCATTTCTTCGGCAAGAAGAATTGATCTTTTTCTCTGTGTGTCATGCACCGCAACCGCTCTCATTCGCCGAAATTGCGACCATTTTTCATGAGCTCAGCTCTAATGATGCCAACACACGCGCACTGGAACAATACGAAATCACCATCCAGAGGTTAATTGCTTTAATTAACAGAACAGAAGGAAGCGCTCGTATTCATTCGCCGCTCTCTCACTCTCCTTTTATAGCTTCATGTCCATGCTACACTACTAACACGAAATTGCGATGATTACGTGATTTATTTTACGAAATCGTCAACCGATGACAAACGACCAACACACAGTGAACTGTGAACAGTACACGAAAAAAAAACGGTTGAAATAAAAGACACATCACGATTTCTCAAATACCTTGAAACGAATGTATGTTTGTTTTAAGCAGAAGATGACATCAAGTTAACCCCAACTAGCGTTTCCCGTATGATCGAAAATACTTTAATTGTTTTAGCGACAAATGAAAACAAAAAAAATTGTGTGTATATAATATGCGGCTGTGCGATAAATAGAATAGAATGGTGAGACAGAGACGAAGACACAGTGAGAGAGAGAGAGAGAGAGAGAGAGAGAGAGAGAGAGAGAGAAGAGATTAAGAAGATGAGCTGACGACCTATGCGCTGTGTTTCAAGCGGGCACACAATTATCCGGTTTTTCGTTTGCCAGGGAATTCACATCTTTCGTGGAATCAACGACATTGACGCTAACAATAGACATTAATTCCTATACTATGTATGTATGACAATGTCAGTGACAATGACTTCATTTACACAACAAGAACGGCAACAACAATAACAAAAACATTGACAAAGAAGAAGAAGAAAAAAGACACACACACTGGCCTCTCAACAATAGTACAATAGTGCAATTTACCATCGTCATCAATCTCATAATCGACGGAATCCGAGTCGGTCTTGAGCGATATGAATATGAAATTGAAAATAAAATGATTTATGGTTTTCGATCATTTGATATTGGCTTTAAAGGTAAGTTGAATCGCGGCCATCAATGAATGCCGTAAATTATGCGTGCATATTAAATTTCAATATTCTATATTCCGCTCTCGTCGTCGTCGTCGTCTTCATCGACGTTGTTGTTGTGGCCGTTGCCATTGTCGTTAGGCGAAACAACGATTACAATTTGATATGTAAGAGATGATATTGTCAACCACCGTTTTGTTTGCAAGTTGGAGCATATAGTTGTTTTTTTTCTTCACTTTTTGCTACTCCGTTCGACCATAGAACAAAATGAAGCAAACGAAGAAGAAAAAAAAAACCTGTAAATCACGTTAGATAATAATCAACGGTTCCTCTTCTCTTCAAGTCTATCGATACTTTGGATTATGTGCGTGTATGTGTGTGAGTCGATCGTGTGTACGCGGCTGAATCGGTTCGTATATGCACACACGACATAGAGTTGAGTTGGCTAGCTGTCTCTCGTTTGCGCCGTGTGCGCGCCCGCACTCGCGCAAACTTATACAATTTTCTCTCTTATGAACACATTTATTCACAATTTGTTTCATTGGATACGCTCCATTCGATTAAACTGTTTACGAACTTATTCATATCGTATGTATTGTGTGTGTGTATGTGGAACTGAACTGTGATTCAATGTGCAGAGTTTTTTTTTTCAGTTGTTGCTGTCGATGTTTTTTTCTTCATATTCTCCTTGTCGATCGTGTTTTTGTTTGTCCATAATTGGTAACTAGCAGCAACAGCAACCGCAACGGCAATGATGACAAAATGTATCGAAACCATCAAGATTGGGGCGTACAAGTTTGGATCCCACACCTTTTGGGCTTTCACATTCAAATTTGGAGTGTTGTTGAAGAGAAACGATGGATTTTGTTGAATTGGTCGGGTGTGTGTGCATGTGCCATAAGGCAAAACTGTTTAAACACAGCAGAATGTCAATTGGATTTCCGAAAAAGTAATGACAGAAACAACAACATTTCAACGAATGCGCTCGTGCGCCAGCTCTATTTATTTATCACTTGTTTATTCTACTTCGTTTCCATTCATATCCCAAGAAAACTGAGCTTGTGCTTTCTTTTCAGACCAAATAATTTCTCTTGAACGACCCGTTCCGCGTATGTCTCGAGTTTCGATTAACTTTCACTGTGGCCAATTCAAAAGAATTCCAATTTGTCATACTATTTACTCGAAATGCTAAATTACTTGGTGCATTCGGCTGCAAACTGAAGAGAGCGAAAAAGAAACCAACCAAATTGACAAAGCCATGCAGTCGCTTAATCGCCTGAATGGTAGGCTCATACTTAAAATGCGATCATTGTTAATGTCATTGAAAGCAGTTAATTACATCAACACTGGATCTCCTCTTGGGCAACGTTGTTGTTTTTCGTTTATTCATTCGTCACACGCACACATTCACACGCCATGCCGTACGCAAGACAAATATACACAACCGTTGTCACGACAACAACAACAACAACATCCGACACAACGACAATGACGATGGCGACAACGATGTCGAATGAAACGAGATAAAGATTGTTTCCTTCGCATGCAAAATGACTCTTGTGACAAACAATTTCACTGTTAGATTGGCTCAAATTGATAATCGCGCTCAACACACCAAGAGACACATTTCCGTTTGCAAACGAGAACCACAGCGCCGTCATTATTTTCAAATTTAAACAATTATCTCCTATTGTGCCGCTAATCGGTTAGAAAGTGTTCACCTTTCAGTTCACAGCATCTCGTCATCTCTTTTGCTCGCTGATGCACTGTGGAACATTGGTCGGGTTTTTTTTTTGCCGCACCAATCACAACAATATAGTGCGATCGCACGAGAATCATACTCACGAATATCGAAAAGGAGAGAAAAAAAAACAACAACAGAAATACCCATAACCAGCACCAATCCGCGATTCGTACAGCTCAACTCAATAACCGTGTTATACCATCGATTGAAGGAAAAAATGCAGACAATGCCTTATGCAAATTTGAATTCTATCTTTCGGTCGTTCGTTCGCTTATTTAACGCGTACACAAATACTTACACTCAACAATCAAAACATATGTAAAACCAATCAACTTAACAATATAATAGAAAAACAAAACAATAACAACAACAAAAACTGTAACAAAATTATTGAAAATATATTGCAATTAATAAACATTTAAATAAAATGTTTCACCTTTTGATTCAACGATCGTTGCTAAAATTGCCAACAAAATAACTAATTCATAAATTGCACTCATGATGACTATACGCGTTTTCTGCCCTAAATTATATATTTATATGTATCTCTCTAGTGGTGGATGATTTCGATGTTACTGTTTCTGTTGCTGCTACGGCGGCTGCTGCTGCTGCTGCTGCTGGTGCTGGTGCTTGGTGCTGCTTCTCTCTCGCGCTCACCTTCGCTCTAAATATTCGGTCATAAAAATGGTTTACTATGTTGTCTATATGGAAGTCACTTTTCGACAGCACACACCATGCATACGCATTTGATGTGTGTTCACCAAAGATGATTGGAAGATGGAGAAAGATGATTTAGATGAGAGAAGAAAAAAAAAACAGAACTGAACTCGTTTATATTATGATAAACTCTTCTATTTCGTGTTCATGGATATATTTTATGTTATTATTTTGCTTCTTTATTTTTTCAATGGAAATTCCTGCATGCGGTATGTTTTTTTTTTTATTATTTTTATGAATTTTTCTTTTCCTTCTTTATTTAACTTTTTTTTCTGTTTGATTTTCGTTTTAAAGGAATTTTAAATGAAACAAATTCAAAACATAAACACTGAAAACTGGTCAACTACATAGTTTCATAGTGGCTGAAACATCGATTGGTGTCCGTTTTCCGTTTGTCAGAGTGTACGCACAACAGCAAAAGTTATTCGAATAATCAAACACACAAGATCTCTTCGCACAACAAACAAACCACACACCACACACAGGCCGAACGAAAACGGTGCACGTTCGCAATTGATCGTATCGAATAAGAATTTTTAAAAAAAACTGTTTATTATGGAATCAATGTTCTTGCATGCGATTTGGCGCAGAATCAACGACAACAACAACAACAAGAACGACAGTAGAAGAATGAAAAAAAAATACATATATATATCGCTCACAATTAAATAGACAAGTCAGGTTTCTAAGCACTCATCACGGCAATTCACTTATAACTGATTTCCATCTGACGCTATTCGTCTCGACTCAGTCTCAAAAAGTGTATACGGCGAGCTGAACCATGACTACGGGAGATGATGAATATGAATTGAAGAAGAAGTAGAAGAAAAAACAACACACTACACAACATCAGATATACACACAACATTGTAGAGCAACAACATCGACATAGCCAGGCACTCATACATTCGTTATATGTGACTCGGTTTATTTAACACGCACAGTTGTGTGTGCCTGCCGTTTTTGGCGTCTCTTTCATCTTTGTACTTCTCAGTTTTGTTCGCATTTCCCCTGTCGCACACACCTGTGCGGCACGGTATTAATATCGAAAAATTAATGTGGAAAACGTCTTTTGGGCAACTGTATAGCCTACGGCTGTAGACGGTGAATTATGCAAGGGGCAAGCGAGATAGTCATCAATTTTATTCGATTCAGAAGATTTGAAAAAATAAGGAAAAAAAAATGTAAAAAAGATGGAAAAGGAACCACCAGAGGAAGTTTGTCACAGTTTGTTTCAGGTAAAAGTTTGTCAAACCTTGAGCCGTACTCAATGAACAGCCTACCTCGTTCCAAATCCATTGAGAAAAGTGTGTGTTGTGATTGGAACTGGATTTATCTCGCATTGCTTTTGTTTCATTCGGTTCGGTGCGTTCAGTGGTAGTGCCGTGTGTCTTGCCGAATACACATGTGCTCATTTAGGTTGATACGCGCGCGCGGTACAATGTGCATGATGTGTGGAGCCAGAGCCTTTCCTAGCGGGGGTTCAAGTGGTTCAAAGAACCAGGGCGCACGAGCGCCGAAGGCGCTCGGGGGCGCTTGATATTTCAAAATTGCCGAATTTACTTGAAATAATCGCGAGAGCGCCGAAGGCGCTTGGGCGCCTTTCCCTTGAACTAAAAACTGTTGATGTTTTTAAATAAGGCTTAAAATCGCCGAAGGCGCTCGAATGCTCTTTTTTATACATATTTCTTCTCAGTTTGAAATTCAAGGGCGCCAACAGGAATTAATAAAGCAATTCTTCATTTTGAAATGATATAGTTTCTATTTTAAAATAAAGAATTGCTTCCATTCAGCGCCCTTGCCTTTTTTCGGCGCCCTTGAATTCCAAACTGAGAAGAAATATTTATGAAAAAAAGGGCTCGAGTGCCTTTGGCGCTCTCGCCTCCGAATTAAGAACATTAGGAATTGTCAATTTGAGGGAAAAGTGCCCGAGCGCTGAAAATGGCTGCGAAAAGGCTCTCCATGAAGCAACGGAAATTTGCGAACGCATTTTGATTGAAGTTAAATTTGATCATCAAAAACCTCGAGCGGCTAGAACAACTGTTACAAATACAGAGGAATTTGGAACAATAGCTTTCTTGCCAATCATTGAATCCGCAACTGATTCAATCACTGATCGTTTTAAAGCACTAAAGCAATACAGCGAATTATTTTCGTTTCTTCATAATTTTGAAAACTATGAAACAATCCGAAAGAGCAGCAGTTTGCAGAAATCATGCAAGAAACTTGAAGTTGTTTCAACGCATGAATCATGCGAAATTAATCGAACAATTTTCGAACAAATTTTTTTTTCCGGATTTCGACCTGAACATTTTTTTGGGTACGTTTCGAACAATCTCGAACAACAAATTTTTTCAAACACGAACGTTTGTTCGAACTTGTTCGTTCGAAAAAAAATTTTGTTCGAAATTTTTCGAAACGTACCCAAAAAAAATTTCACCTCGAAATTTGGAAGAAAAAATTTGTTCGAAAATTGTTCGATTGACACCTCTACGCATGATGGAAAATCTAATATCGATGGTGATGAACTATTTCTATAACTTGCATTGATTTCAACTTTAGTGAAACAAGATAATATTACTCACGCAATCGATATACTAAATTCAATTTAGAAGCGAAAAATGGAAAACTTAGTTTCAAGTGCAGTTACTGCGCTTCACATACTGCTGGCGATCCCAGTTCGCGTTGCAACGAGAGAGCGATCATTTTCAAAGCTTAAGTTGAGTAAAACTTATCTCTATTTGCATTTCTATGCAACAGGTCAAGATAGGCTGAATCATCTGGCAATCATATCAATAGAAAGCGATGTAGCAAATTTGATTCAATATGACAACAACACACTCAATATTATAGCGACATCTATTATTAAAATGAACCCATGAGCATAAAAACAACGTATTGACTCTTCGCCGATGAATACGAAACGCAAAAAAATCGCCGAACAAAGTGAAACACCAATCTGTTATTGGATCAATATGAAACATGAAATCGTTGGCCACTATTTTATTTACGTTGCGCTTTGTTTTGAAGCGCGGCAAGTGTTTCATTTTGTTCCAGTAACAGAACGTTGTATCACTTTGTTCGGCGACGCGCTCAATGTACTGTTTTGAAAAAATATGCATGATTTGATACAGTTTTGTGCGAGTGCAACATAAATTCTGTTCGCTTGAAAGTGAATCGTGAAATATCGGCTGACTATAGAAATTGTGTTTCAATTTAATTGAAACAAAAATGTTTGATACACTTTTGAGTCCATTGGTATGATGATTCATTTTAATGGTGGTTTTGGTCGTGATTTGTCTATGAAGTGAAAATTAACTGATAAGGAGCGCGAATTTCGATGTGCCGATAACACCAATAGAGCAGAAAAAAATACTATATGAAAATCGAAAAAAAATTTAAACTTTTTTTTTCGACTGTTGCCTATTTCGGATCGTCTACATGGGAAGTTTGTATGAAATCCTCGGAACGCGGGTTCACGCCGCTGTGAATACATTGGTTTATATAGTGAAATCTATACATGGCCAAAACACGGACGCACAACACCCATTCTATTTCGCTCACACTTACGTGCAATTTTTACCCGTATAACAAAGTAGTCTGCTTTACTGTTAAAAAGATGTGCGCAGTAAAGAAACAAGAACGTACATGTTTCAGCAACGTTAAAGTGCGCGTAAGTGTGAGCGAAATAGAATGGGTGTTGTGTTAAAATGAATAGTTTAATATACCAATGGACTCAAAACTGTATCAAATCATGCATATTTTTCCAAAACAGTACATTGAGCGCGTCGCCGAACAAAGTGATACAACGTTCTGTTACTGGAACAAAATAAAACACTTGCCGCGCTTCGAAACAAAGCGCAACGTGAATAAAATAGTAGCCAACGATTTCATGCTTCATATTGATCCAATAACAGATTGGTGTTTCACTTTGTTCGGCGATTTTTTTGCGTTTCGTATTCATCGGCGAAGAGTCAATACGTTGTTTTTATGCTCACGGGTTCAAATAGCTTGTAGTAAACGCATTCATAGCATTTCACTGTAGTTGCGATGTTACCTATTAAATTCCCCTGTGGTATGTAGTTAACAAGTGTCAAACATGAATGTGTCAGTACTACAAGGGAACTTAATAGGCAACATCGCAACTACAGGGAAATGCTATAAATGCATTTACTACAAGCTATTTTAATAAGAGATGTCGCTATAATATTGAGTGTGAAGAAAAAATACATTCTTATGTAGTAAGTCATTTTAATGTATCGTTCTTTTGTTGCTTTTCAAAAAAAAAATTGAATAAATTTGATCATTTCTACGTTTTTTTCACTCCCCTTAAAAATTCCAGCTTGAAAGGGCGCCAAAGGATTTTGAACCAGGGCGCCAGCGAAGCTAGGAAAGGCTCTGTGTGGAGCTATATCGTAAAGGTGTCTGCGAAAACTCTCTGCTGCCACTGTTGTGTAAATACTTTTTTTTTCTCGTATTAATGGCGATACAGTTTTCGTACAATATTTTATATTTTTCTCGGCGAATATCGTCGTCGTCGTCGTCGTCGTCGTCGTAGTCTTAGTCGTCGTCGTCGTCGTTGTTGTTGTCATTGGCAGCGATGCGCGTTCAGCAGCACGTTTTTTTTCTCCCTATTGTACAAGATCGGATAGGATCGTCTATATACTCACAATTCAAACGAAAACATATTGTTGAAGAAGAAAAAAAAAACCGAGCTTATATCGTAAAATCAGATATTCAGCAGTTTCTCACCCATTTCGATTGTAATGCGGCATGAGTAATGTTCAATGTTGCGTCGGCGGATGTCGGGTACTGAATCACACTGAGCGAACAGAAAATACAAGCGCATTAAAGAAATACACATGATACCATTGAATGCAAGCAGCAAACAAACAAAAAAAAAACAACAAATACCAAGAGGCGAATCTAACGATTGCTTTTTACATAGAGCCACGAATGAGTCAAGTTTTTTTGTTGCATGATACTCCGATTCGGATTGATAGTCACCGATTTTAAAATACACGGCGGTTTGTTTTTTTCTTTGCTGGTGTAGTCAATGTTGCTTTCATTGTTGTCGTACATTGTAGGCGAAATATGGCTTTTGGGGACGACAATGTTTGATATCTCGCTCGTCAAACCATGTGTACACATACTGCATCCAGTTAATGTGTCATTGTCAATTAAATTTGTTGTGCAAACGCTTTTGCTTGGTGAAAGTGAAAATCTACCCACATATGTGTTCAAGCGATGGTATCTAAATCACGATCATAAATGGCACTTGCTTATCGTGCCACAGATGATGTGTGCTTTCAGCCAAACTTTATTCACACATTTTCAATCACATTGAAATTGTTGAACATCTTTTGTTCTCTGTCTCAGCGTTTTTCTTCTCTCCTCTGTAAATGAGGACTGGATCATGGCTGTACATTTAGTCACTGAATATTTTCTGGTGAGAATCAGTTGCTCCATTGAATACAATGGTGTGGAGAATTCACAATGAACAAAAACACAACTCAACAACCGCATCAAGAATCATTCTAATAACGGCTGATTTTTCTAATACGACACATTTTTCGCTTCGTTTGATTAAATCAAATTAACCAAACCGCAAAATAGTTAGGCATTTAACCATGCGTTTAAATAAGAGAGAAAAAGAGAGCGAGCAAGAGAGAGAGAGAGAAAGAGAAGGAAAGAATTGAACGCTTATGTTTTTGCTCGAAAAGTTCATGGAAATGAATACGACGATCAAATGATGTTTATGATTTTGTGGTTCAGAGCACAAGAGCAATAGAAAGCGCTTTTTTTTATAATTGATGTCAATTTCTAACACCGTACGATTTGTATGATGGATGCTCATCGAATTGGATATGTTTTTGATCGTGCGGCAAGTTCAAATAGTAACAGAAAAAAAAAGCCTAAACGTGATACAAAACGCTGTGAAAATGATACTCGATTCCAAATGAACAGAAAAAAATCAAGAAAAAATGGAGAAAGAAAAAACAACAACACATTTCGGTTTATGACCTTCGTTTATCATACTTAAGTCGTTATTATTTTTTTTACATACGTTTCTAATGTTACATTAAATTAACTATAGACTTGTGTAGGATGAATTTCGAAAATATAATCTTTCTTTCATTTTAAAGTTCAATATTCGTTGAGTTTTGTTCGTTGGAAAAAAAAATTTCTATGTTTTTATTTTATGGCGCTGTTAATTGTGATAGTAATCAACAGCAAAAATAGATAACAAATTATAAAATTAAATGAATGCGAATAATAAATAGATTCTAAATCAGTGCATTTGATGGATCGATCATATTTTGCCGATAGACTTATTGGATAAACGTGCGCCGCGTAGATTTACACACACAAAAAAAATACTTTGAAATATTTACAAATATAAAAAAAATAAATAAATAAATACGCTCAGAAGTGTTGAACCTAACAGATTAAGACATTAACGTTGCCCACACTGATGCTCTATTTCCAAAAGTATAAAAAATAATAATAATAGGAAGACAAAGAAGAGGCGATTTAGTTTCGTGGATACATGCGAGGATGTGGATTCGGTGTATATGTTGACATTGGAACTCTAGGCGCATTCGACAAACTGTACAATGGTCCACCGCTTTCTAAATTTGATTGCAATGTTGACGTTCCATGCTGTTGATCGGATGATTCACAATCCACGTCATAATAGATACCGGTCGGACTCTGAAAATACCAATTTTAACCATTTTTAATCGTATTTGGAATAAATGCCAAAAAAAAAAACTTTGCAACTTAAAACCCAAACGTATAGCCAAAGCTTAATCGTACAGAGAATCGCCATTGACATTTCGAATATTTGGTATTTTACCTGATACGTATTGCCTAGTAAGTCCACCAAATCGTCTTCTTCACTTGAGCTTGTATTCTCGTGTCTTCGCATCTTCGACGATGAATCAATATCCATTCTGAAATTTTATGGACGAAAATGTGATTTTAACAAAACTTTAAACAGTCAATTCGATTATAATTATGCAGAAATAAAAGTTGGTTTTCCTTTTTTGTACATTTCGAATTCTAATGCGAATGTTTGCGAAGATGATTCAAACTAATTAAGCTTTCAATTTTGGAAAAAATTTAACATTTTGTTTTGGGATGGTCGAAAAAAAAAGTCGAATTACCTTGAAACTGGTATCGATAGTTCGCTCAAACCTCGATTACGCACGGGCAGTGTTCCAGCCATTGAGAGACTAGTATTTGGATGTCGCATATTTTGATACACGTACATTGGTGCTGGCTGCACTCGTTGTGGCGCCACTGGCTCAACCTGTTTCAAATTGATCGGTTTTTATCAACTATTCTCTGTTCATTTGAATTGCAATTGGAGATTGTTTAATACAATGAATTACGACAATTTGCTTACCGCATAATGATTTGATTGGGCCATAACATCGGCGATTTGTGCCCAACGCATTCGATCTTCGAGTGCTGCTTGATATGTTTTCGATTGCATCGTCTTCATGTGTGTATCTAAATTGGCTCGTGTTATATAATTAAAGATGGGGCTACCGATCATTTCTTTTTGCTCTTGATTCCAGCGACGACCCCACATCACTAAGCACACCAGCGTCAGTGTAATGATCAGAACAGCGATAATTGAAGCGCCAACTGACACAAACAAAATATCACCGTCGATTTCACACTGGCTTCCATAGTAACTATTTGCACAAACGCACACCAATTGCGTACCGCTATCGTCGTATTGACAAGTTCCTCGATTATTACAGTACGTGTTCGAGCATGAAATACATTCACGGCCAGCTCTTTGGATCTGATCCGACCATGGATCTCGCAATCCCGGTGCACATTTACACAAGAACGATCCCCAATTATTTGAACAATTTGCACTTGCGTGACAATCATTCAATTCGGCCGATGAACATTCATCAAAATCTGGAAGTCGAAGGAAAAATACCATTTTATCATCAATATAACATCAACTTGGTACTTGAATACGGAATAGTAATTTGAAAACTAGAAAATACCTAATTGAAAGGTAAAAGTCACTTATTTGTTTTAAAAACGAGTAATTTTTTGGAAAAAAGAAAAAAAAACACATTTCAAAAAATAACTTGCACGTACCATAAAGATTCGATATTGAACCGGCCGGCTGGTCAACGTACAAAGCGGAATTTCCAATATTGTTATTGCGACGATGAATTACAGCAACCAATTGCTTTTGCAAATCCGATTGGATATAATTTCGAGCACTTTCCGTATTACCATCGATTTGTATGGTCATATTGACAAACACACCAGGTGAACCCTGGCTTGCATTACCCGCATAAATATTGTGCACACGTGCGCTTATGAAATCATCCGAAAATGGTGTCATCGACATCACTGAATCGACCTATTGAATAGATTGCGAATTTATTTATTTGATAATAATGTTTTTTTTTTGTTATTAGAAAAAGAAACGGTAAAGAAGTTTTATTCGATGAACAACGTTGGGTTTCTTCTAATTTCTAATAAATAATTCATAATAAATTTACCGCTCGTAAAGCTTCAAAGCTCATATGTTCGAATTGTTCACTATTTGAATCAGCATAAACTTTATCCCAAACGATTGGCTTGTCATAATATTTGTCAATGCGCATCGACATGATTAGCGATACGACTCTTCTACATGGATCACGGTACTTTCGACGAGAATAACCTTTATGAAGCACAAACATTTAAAAATCAATTTGAATTCGAAATTTTCAAATAATTTTTTTCTCCAAATAATAGAGTCTTTCACTTTATTTGATGCAATTTAATGCTTAGAGAAAATTGCCATCGAAATAAGCACCAACAAAAAACAGTATCAAATTCGAATTGAAAAGTTAAATAAAAAATGATTCAATTTACCTGGTCGGCAATGGCAACTTGAAACGCCAAAGTCGGTCTTGCACACTTCATTCTGTGCAATGTCACAAGTGGTATCATCACCAACGATGCATGTATCGATGCGTACAGCATTTTGCTGTGGTTTCGTTCGATAGTTATATCTCATGGAGAATGGTGTGTGTGGACTTGTTGTGTGATTGACAAATGGCTTATGAGCTTGGGTTTGGCCTTGATTAGGTTTTCCTCGATTCGTTGGAATTGAATTGGTTTTCTCGCCGTATGGTGTTACCTGCAAAATGTTATTCTAATATTATTACACACATCACACGTAGACATACTTAAAAATCATAATAAGTTCTTATTTCATGGCGGGAATAGTTGATAATTAATTTTATTCGTTTATACGATAAGCAAGAGGGTTTGCTTTTGTTAACGTTTCTATTGTACATAAAGAAAATTTGAATAACAACAGCTGTTTACCGTTTTCGATGCATAAACTCGTTGATCGTTTTGAGTTTTCATTGGTTTCTTCAAATGTTCAGTTTCGGCCGTTTCGCCAAAAAGATTGATGTACGTTCGTTTGCCATCAATTGAAACGAAGCTATTATCATCCGATGCTGATACAATGATATCATTTCCATAAGCACCGTACAATTTGGTTGCTACCACATCCGTTGCGCCCGGATCAGTGTTTCCAATTTCAATCAAATCGACGACTTTATTATGTTGTGGCTGACCCTGAATGGCTGATAGTGTCACGTCGAATATTTCAGCATAAATATTCGAAAGTGTTGCCGATGATTGGACGCCTGTGTTTCGATGGATGTGGTGATGGAAGGTTGGTTGCGTTGATGGTTCCAGTGTTCCTGGTGCGCCAGGCTTATAATCGGTATCGTCAAGCACAATTCCAGGTCGTGCATAAAATGATTTGAAATCGGTTGATTCGATGGATGAACTTGGTTTTTGCACTCGTGATGGTGAAATTGTACTCTTAACCGAAGGCTGGATTGGTTCGGTCGTTTGGATTTCTACCGAAGTTTCGGGAGCTTTTAGTATAGACGGTTGAGTTAACTCTGGTGTTTTCATGCTTTCTTCTGAGGTTATTGTTGGTTGTGGCTGCGGCTTTGGTTGTGATGCATGTGAGAATGGAGCCGGTGCCGGTGCTGGCGCTAGTGCTTCAGTTGATCTTTCCAAAATGGGTGTTGAAATCGGTGTTTGATGGCTCACTGGCAACTCAGGCTCTACCTGCATTTCTTTCATAATCTCGATGATTGGTGGTGTAGTTGTCGTTGGGATTCTGGTTGTTTTCTTCTCTGGTTTTCTTGTCGTTTCTCTTGGAATTTGTTCCGGTTGATTGCTTGGCTTCGTTACAATTTGTTCCATCAGATTTGTGGCTGGTTTTTCGTTTGTAAACAACTCTGGCATTTTATTGATCTCCGGAATTCGGGTACTGTATGCAGTCATTGGATTAACAGACATGGTCGGCGGTCGGAGATCTTGTGACGGTTGTGGTGGCAAGTGTGATACGCGACTGGGTATTTGCAATCGATTTGTATTTGTAATTTGTATGGGTGGTCGGGTTCGTGAACCATGCCATGGCGGACGATTCGTTGGCATCGGTTTATTGTGCAACATTGGATGCTCATTTCGAAGTGGTTTTTCAGGTGGTGGCAAGTCAAATGGATATGGTACCGTTGGTGGTTTTCTCATTCCATTCGGATACGGCGTCGTTTTTTGTGGAATATTACTAAATTTATCATCGATTCCGGGAAGAATGATTGGCAGTTCGGAAATACGTGGCGGACCACGATTATTTATACGCGTTGCATATCTTCGGGTTGGTGGTGGTGGCGAATATTGCGTATTTGCTTGCACATTCACATTTCCATTCAATAATTTCACGATGCCAGTTATGATGTCTTGAATATCCGCATTCGGATTATTCTGTCTCTGTTCGGCCACATCAGTGTTTGTTGGATGCTGTGGATCGAATTTTAATATGCTTGTTGGTACTATTTCGTCCGAGTCTTCTGATCGCGGTCGTCTCGTTGATGATAATCCATCAAAATCTTTTAAAAGACTCGTTCCAATCACATGTATCGACTCATAGTCATTTATACTGCCTCTCAATGTGGATGTCGGAAATATATGATCCGTCACATCCTCGTCACAATTTTCATTCGGTGAACTCGCATGGAATTCGTAATTGATATCATTGATTTTCGGATCTTTATTCGATTTCTTGCAGATCACCTTTCGTTCAATAGCTAAGGCGAAACAAATTGAATTTATTAAAATGAAATAATTTTTTTCTTGAATTAATCATTTCATTACAATTATGGAAAATGAAATTTCCGCTTTTAAAACCATAAAAAAACGTGGTGGAAAATTATCCAAATAGGAAGTGTCGACTTACCATCGGTAAAAATTGTGAATAAAATGATGTGAAGAGAAAATGTGATCCAAAGACCAATGGTTTTTCGTTTAAAAATTGTCATCTTTCTGATGTTCATGGGATATATCGTAGCTCGTAATCGCAATAAAACACATTTAGTTCGCCAAAATGAAATAATTACGGCAAATTTTTCCCAGCAAAAAATCTATACAAACAAACCGCGCGAGAAAAAAGTGTTTTAAATTAAACTTTGGTAATTTAGTGAATCAATTGGTAAAAAAAGGAAAAGTTTTTTTTTTCTATTTTGCTTTGTAATTTTGCACAAACGCCGAAATTAGTCAACAGAAAAATATCGGCCATCACTGACCTAAGGCTAAGTCTACATTGGTGCAAATGTGTGGAAGCAAGTCGGAATAACTGAATATTTGTGTGTTTACTTTAGTTGCGTAACGCACATTGTGCACACGGCGTTGGTGACTAATTTTGCACGGTAATAAAGTGATGATTTATGAATGGCAAACTGCGAATGCTTTTGTCGGTGTGTGTGTGTGTTTGTGTATTTGCTGCGAAATGCTCTCGCATCAGCACTTTCTTGTGATGCCAACAAGATACCAATGATATATCTATACCATTTTATTTCATGCCGTGGTTTTCAGTGCCCATAACACTAACCGAAATTATGTAAAATGCGACTCTTTTAATTAATTGTTCCGACTTGTGATTTGTGGTACACAACTTATGTAAATATATATGATGAAGGTGATCGTGGACAAACCGATTTTTTGCCAACTTTCTGCATAAAATCCGTCCTGAACCAACACAACGACGACGACGACAACAACGAGAAACCGATGACGGATGCGAGATGTTGATGTTGCAACATTCATGGTATTTTGAATAGCGGTTTTTTCATAGCTTTTATGTGACGTCAAACGCTATGGCCATACTGGATATAGACAGCATGGACAATACCAGTCAATGACTGTTGAAACAACATACTTTGACGGTTTTAATGGAGCCAATTTTTGTTTTTGATTTTGTTGTTGTTTTTTTTTTCGTAGCAAAATATTTGTCAAACAAATGTAAACAGTAAAAATTGCTCAGTTTCGGTATACGATGAATAATAAAATAGGACGTTGCATAACGTGAAGTTTAAAATCATAGGTGTGACTAATAATTGGGAAAATCCATTGTTACAATTTCACATTCACGACAGTTTAAATTCACATTGCAGCGCAGCCAATTTCTTTTTTTTTTTGTCGTCGTCGTCGTCGTCGTTGTCGTCTTTGTCGCATTACTTGTATCAACCCGAAAAAAAAGACTTTGTTCACATTCAACAACATAATATTTTCACTTGAACGAACGAACAAAAAAACAAGCAAAATAAAAAACCTACGAAAAAGTTGCTCTTTTCTGCATGCAATGCTTTTCAATTATTATCAAGTGTTTAAATACATGTAACCCGCATACATGGAATTTTTCAAGTTCTACAAAAGTATCGAGCATTTAGTGCAAAAAGAAAAAAAAAACCAGACGTATGGAAAAAAAGAAATGCGATGGCAATTTAGCCATCCTGTCCACAGCGCATTGCCAATACATGGCAATATACGTATGACACACATAAGCACGAAGAAATGTATAATTTCATTATAGGTCGTAATCGATTCGATCTTTCAACGCATTCTTAAGTCAAACAATACCACAGCTGCTGTGTTGATCTTTTCATCCATTTCTTTACCATACTATTCTTTCGCCCGAAAAAAAAAACAAAATTAAACTAAGAATGAATGAAGAAGAAGAAGAAAAAATAATTGTGTTATATTTTAATTCCACTGGATTCTATTCACCCAACAAGAAATTAACTGTTATTGCAACATATATTCTCTCTCGATGTGTTTTTTTTTTCGTTCGTTTTTATTTTATGTCAAAACTTGAACAACATTCTTCTTGGTTTATATGAGATGTACACACAGCACTTTCAAAAGCCAATACGAAACCTAATTTTCTTACAAGAAGCAAGAGAAGAAAAAAAAAACAGCACAACACACACTGGATGGTACACACATTCACTCTGGATACAGAATGCAGCTCTGAACAAATTTTTTGCTCTGTTTTTCGTTTTACCTGTGATCGCGAACTGATTTTATTTGTTTTCTTTTTTTTTCTCCACTCAGCACGCAAATTGCAATGAATTTAAAAAATCACTGTCATTGATATATCTAAAGTCACTTGATAGAAATTTCATTGGAAATTTTGTGTTTTTTTTTCTTGCTGCTTCTGTTCAACTTAAAACCCCAACATTATTCCACTGAGCTTGTGATGCGTATGAAAAATACTTTTCAATTGAAATAATATAGCAGTATATGTGTGCATGTTTAGCACACACAACAGAGAAAAAAAAGAGAGAGAAGAAGAAATTTTCGTTGCGTATGTGACTCGAGTTACCTCAAGCGTTTCGATGAATGTGACGTTGTCGCTTTCTTCAGTCTTTCATTTTTCTCTTTTCGTTCGCGCTATACTGGAGAGCTCATTCGCGCGCGCATACCACGGGCCGCCCGGAATGGTGCGGCGGAAAGAGAGAAAGAAAGCACACACGAAACGACCGAGATGGAGAGAAAGAAATCCAAAGAGAAATGTGAAGAAAACAACACACAACATCCATGGATAGACTCGTATACATGCAGAAGTAGAGAAGAAAATTAAACCTGCCACTCTGCACTGCTGCTACGTACGATCATTTCTTCGTGCATGATTTTGATCTGCCGATATCCATGACACGCCAACACTTGACACTTGGATGCTTTTACATGGTTTACCATTGATCTGCATTACAATTTCGTTAATTCGCCCCGGTTTTATTCAAACCAATTAAAATTGTAACCAATCAGAAAAGATTGAATTTTATTTGAATCCACATAAGAAGCGGATTAATTTCTGTCATAATTTGTAAAAATTCAGATTTTTCTTGATTCAAACACTTTGAAAACGCTTTGTAAAGTTGCATTATTTTGGAATGGATCTTTTGAAAAAGTCGTTTTAACTCATTTGAAAGGGCGTCTCCACTTGGAAAGCTACATGCAATCCATTGATTTCATTTAATCACACAATTTTTTAAATGAAATTCTATTTTATGGTTAAAAAAGTCATTCGAATGGGAAAAAAATATCAAAGTGCAAAAATATTTTTCGATTTTATTGTGACGTTGAATGGAAAAAGAATGAAAAGTTCTGTTTTCAGTCATCGGAATGGTTCGTTTGAGCCGAATGAGAGTGGCGTGATTTGGAACAAAGACGACATCTGGTGGCTTTCAATTGAAAAATATGAGATATGACACGATATGAGTCATGGAGTCGCCAGAATATCGTACGATATTCTACATAAGCGAAAATGTGTATGCAAACGAATGTCAGTAACGATTCAAGCCTAGCCTTATAAACACGTACTTAACACGGAGATAAACAACGCAACCGATTATATACATGTTGACATGTAGCCACCAAAACATTCTAAAAAAAAAAAAAATTGTTTCAATTTAATCTCGCATCCACACGGAATCCGTTTTATAATTTTCAATAAATAAAATTAAAATTATTTTCGGTGTAGTGTTTGTGTGGCATGGGTGTAGTAAAATTTCTTCCAAAAAATTTGTCTACCAAAAATAAGTGAAAAAAAAGTTGTATGTGTGGCTGTGTGTTTCGTGTTCGGTTTGTATCCGTGGCCCAGTTAACAAATTTTTCGATTCGGAAAAGAGAGAAAAGAGTACAAAAAAAAAAAAAAAACGTCTCGCCACCCTCGAGTATAGCACACGTGTATTGCAATGGAGAGCTAACACCTATATATTAAATAAAAAGAACAACAAAAAATTGTAATCGAAGAGTTGCGATTGGCCATCGATGACATTGTCGATTTTTGATGTATATCAAAACGGCAACAAATGCACAAACAAAATTAAGCAAACATCTGACTCTTGCAACAAATTTCGGAAACACGCGATTTTTTTTTGCACAATCGGAGTGTGTATGTATATAGTGTTTATTGCGGGGCAAATTGTGTTTATGAGTAAATAAGTGCAAATACTTATACAAAAATATTTATAGTGGGCACGGCGCGCTAGTCTATTGTTGTACAATCTGTAGCGTAAAGTATGTGTTTTGACTAAGACTGACGTCAAAATAAGAAGAAGGACAAAATATAACGAAACGGAAATAACGGAGGAAAATCACCTGATTTGCAGTATTGTTTTTTCTTCTCTTGAAATTTACATTTGATTTGTATGGATATTTGGGATTCACTACTTGACATTTGACAATTTGAATCGGTTGGCGCATATATCGATTAGTTTGCGTTTTTAATCCAAGTTAACCACTCCAATACAAGCTGAATTAAATTAGCGACACACAAGAACTAGCTAAAAAAGGAAGTGGCCATTCAAACGGTTTTAGCTTTGGTCGATTAATACCGTTGAAAAAAAAAACCAAATTACAAACATGGCTATTGGCAACATTACGTCCACAAATTCATCGCAACAGTTGATGAATGCGGACACGGAAAGTATAAATGCATTGGGTAGTGTAATGTCCTCAATCGATGGTGACGATGTCAACGGTGATGATTCAAAACGCCCAAATTCACGGAATTCACACCAATACAACGGGTTGTCTTCAATAACATATAGCGAATGGTTTTGCGTTGGAGTATTATGCTTTGTGAATCTTATCAATTACATGGATCGATTTACAATAGCCGGTAAGTCGAATAGATTGTTCATTTTTTTTCGTTCATTATTGGATCAAACAGGAGGGGAAAAAAAATACCACGCAATCACCATAGAATGTCGTAAACGTATTTATTGAATTATTTGACTAATCGCACACAGTGTTATAGCCCCGGCACACGGCATAATTATAATTTTCCTTGTTACTTTCCCTTGTTTATTCGTTCACTTACTCTTTTCCTTTCTCTCCCATTCATTCACTCTCAACAACATCGAGACGTTCACGCTCAACTCATAATTTCTTCTCGTCGATTAGTATTACAAATGCAACCGATTGTTTCATTGAGCATACGACGTATTTCGTATACAGCGGATGACTATAGTCAATCTATTACATGTGTAATCGGTGCACTGACAGATCTTTGCATAGACAACGGTTTCTTTTACGACTATATATATATAAATCTAACAGCGAACACAATCATCCGATTTGTATTTTTCCGATGATTCAGACCCTTATGTTTTTGTTTACTTAAATAATGTTTTGAATGCAGGCTAAAGCCACATATGAAACAATTATTATTGGAATCTAATATAATCATTTCATAAAAATAGTGGAATGAAGAGGGAGAAACCGCACGATTATTCCCAATTCCCCAAACGTTATTTACTCAGAAATCAGGCGACAATTTATCATTTTAAATTAAAAAGAAAAAAAAACAGTGGAAATCCAGATAACTTGCTCATTTAACATGCTTCAGCGGATGCAATATTATAATTTGGTCTTAATTTTCTTCGTTCAGTCGAAATGTGAGAGAAATACCTCCAAATTGTGTTGTGTACAAAAAAAAAGTTCAAATTTAAATGGCTACTCGTTTTTTTTACTCTACAATTGAGCTAAATTATCAGTGATTTGCTTTTACCCTGTGTTTTATTTCAATGAGCTCTACGTTCAAACTAGTCACTCATTTTTCTGGTAATTCAACGTCAATCCCGTTGTTTCAGAATGAAAATCGGACGGTTTTTTTTTCTTGAATATTTTTCTTACGTTCAGAGAAAGAGAGATAGAGAGAGAGAGAGATGGTCAATTATTATATAATTAGCCATTACGAAATTGCGTTTAGATGAATTGTGCGTATGCAGAAGATAAATGTAAATGCACAAGACAGGAATGTAAAGCGGCAATAAGATGACACAAGATACGGGCCCAATAGTGTAATACACGATTTTCACGACATGTGAATTACTTTTCAGTCAGTTGAAATATAAAAATAAGTAGCGCGTTGATTGCGTTGCATATGTCATGTATGTGGCGCGAGTATTCGGTTGCTATTGAATTCGATTCAATCATTCACTGTGTTCACCTATGGCAGCAAATATAATTTTCTCAATGCATTTCACGAGATCCAAGTTCTAAATCGAACAGTTTTTTTTCTTGATAAATTAAAAAATATATAAAAAGATCAATTTCGCACTACATCGCAGTCTTTCCCGAGAGTCTGTCTTTCCAGAGAGTCTGCCTCTGTCTGTCCAAAAAGTCTATCTCTATCTACCTAGAATGTCTGTCTCCGTTTTCTTTTCAAAGAACATTTATCCGTTTAACGTCACACATTTCTTTGCACCCTCATCACCGACCAACATCTAAATATAATTTAATAACCGTTTAATAATTATTAACCTTTTGCAACATGATTTTATTGATATCAATTAAATCAAATATATTTGAATCGGTGTCCAATTGATTGTTCAACGCAAAAATCAAATCATCAAAAAGAAAGCATTGAACGCTCTATCGAAAGATAGGCCAACCGGCAAAATTTTTTGCTTAGCAACTTTTTAACATTGATTTGAGAGAGATTGAGAAGAAAAAAAATGCGCACGAGCTAAGCGAAAAACGTGCAAAGAAAGAGTAGAAAAAAAATCTATTCATATGCATGCCATTATTCATCGAATGAAAATTGGCGACAGAGGTCAAGATAGTGTGGATGCCAATTGGAGATAAATCATAGCAAGTAACGATCAGATGCAACGAAATAATTGAATTTTATTAAGCAAGTCGAGTAAAAAAAAGAGAGATGGAGAACAGAATAATCAAATATTCCAAAACGGGTAAAAATTATCAGACTCGTTTTATGCCACTCAAATGCATTTCATTGGCAATCTACGATTGTAATCGACAGTTTTCAGACGGCCGGTGATAAACAAATATTGTCGAAAAATTTACACGAGTCGTCAAGGTTTACTTATGAAATTTGTTGATAAAATTAAACGAACACGTTTCATTTCTTCAGAAAACAAAAACAACAACAAATTTTCAATAGACACATTTCCGTTTTAGGGCAACAAAGCATTTAGCACTTGTGTGTAATAAATAAAAGTAAAAAACGCCAAGTTATTTGAAAGAGAAACGGATGGAAATCAAATACAACAGCATAATGTATTCAAAATGACGGTGTATGTAAATAAACAAACATTTCATGTCATTACTACTTCACTTTCGCTTAATCATTTACTTAAATTATCATCGTACGATATTTAAGCAGTGATCGTACACATTCTCTCTATCTCTTTCTCGCTTTCGTATGCTATAGAGGACGCATATTTCGTATGTGCGTGCTATTTTAAGATGATCCTTTGTTTTGTATGTACGTTATAAACGTTGCATCAAACGTAGCGAGTATGGTATGTGTTTGAAGAAGAGAGGCCAATTTGCCACCTCGTCAAATTGTTATCGCTTATGGTAGATTTTTATGTTGATTGTTACTAAATGTGATGAATTTTTTGGTTGCCATATTTCGCACGATTATTCATCCACTTGCTTACCTCATCGCCAAGTCTATAAATTGATGTGCTGAATCATGTGTGCGACTATAATTTGGATGAAAATGACCAGTTGCACAGTTTCCATTGATGATAACACTATTACTCGATTCGTCCAAATTTAGGAACCACGTATTTCAACTTGAGTCTAGTGACGTCAACTACTTGCGGAAAAATATATCTGATAATCATGGCAAGAGAACAAAAAATTTCCTACGTATTATTGACTGTTGTTGAGAGAAAAATGCTATGCTTGACCAAAGTCGCGATCGTATCAATGATAATGCTACCGATTTCGATGTAAACATAAATATAAATCCGAATCACACTCATTATTTATCACTTAGGCCATTGGCTACGTCAAAATAGAGTAATTAGTAATATATGTTATCTACACTTTAATTGAATTGCCGCTTATCGTCGTCAAAACGGACAACTAATTATAAATGTGTTTAATCTTCTTCATATGTCATTAAAATTGTATTTATTAATTTTTTCCAGGTGTTCTGACGGACATACAGGATGAGTATAAAATGAATGACGAGCAATCGGGTCTTTTACAAACCACATTCGTCCTATCATACATGATATTTGCGCCGGCGTTTGGATATTTAGGCGATCGATATTCACGACGATGGAATATGATCGCGGGTGTTGCACTGTGGAGTGCGACCACATTGATTGGATCATATATGGGATCATACACAACATTCACGATATTCCGTGCATTGGTCGGAATTGGTGAGGCTTCCTACAGTACAATTGCTCCCACTATCATTTCCGATTTGTTCATCAATGACATCCGCTCAAAAATGCTAGCACTTTTCTATTTTGCCATACCGGTTGGCTCTGGCTGTGGGTAAGTTGATTGACATTCTTTTTCGATCGATATGATTATTGCCTAAGAAATACGATTCTCTACGGTCCAACTGGAAATGCAATACCTCAATGACAAACATATTGAAACGTAAGAAACATATTGAACTGTTTCATGTAACACATTGTTTTCTCCCTTCACCTCGAAGTATCGATTATTACATTACGTTGACAGACAGAGAATAATAGCCATATTTTCGAAAGGAATGAAATGCTATCAATTAAATAGAATTCCATATTTACAAACATCGCGAGAGACTGGCATAAAATGTACAGTGTACACACACAATACGTGGATTTTTCACCTTTTTTCTGTTTGCCATCCGTACAATATATAAAGCATGTGATAAACTTATTGAACTCAATGTTTGGATTGTAATTTAAATGACTTATTTAATGTCTGGCAAAATGCCACAACACATATAACATACATTCGCGCTAAATCGTAGAATCGCTTCTGTAATTAAGATAAGAATTATTGTAGCCGCTGTTTATAGCTCTGTTTTCATAAAATAAAATTTGTTTTCATTCTGATTTCACTTCTCTTTTTTTTGTCACACACAATTTGTTGTGTACAAACAATAGGTATATTATTGGTTCAAAGACCGCTGCTTTAATGGGTAGCTGGAGATGGGCTTTGCGTGTCACACCAATTTTAGGTATAATCGCCGTAGTTTTAATTTATTTCACTAAGGAGCCCGAACGTGGCCAACATGAAGGCAGCCATACAGGAAGCACATCCTACAAAGAAGACTTGAAAGGTAAAGAAGGCACACACACACACACACACACACACTCATGATGGCCAAATAATTGGTTTTAGACACTTTTCGATGAAGGTCATTTCAACATTCTCTTCTTTTTTTTTCCTTGTCCACACAGATCTATCAAAGAATCGATCGTTTATGTTGTCTACACTGGGTTTCACGTGCGTTGCATTTGTAACAGGTGCCTTAGCTTGGTGGGGTCCTAACTTCATGTTGAAAGGCCTGAAATTGCAATATGGAAATGAGGACATGAAATTGGACGAGTAAGTTTCTATCGTATGAATTTATATGCAAACAAATGAAATTCTTTCTTTAGATGACACATCCATATTGACAGCTTTCATGCAAAGAATTTTACATCCCAAATTGACACTCAATGCGAAACAAACAAACAAACAAAAAAAAATCCATTTAAACCGAAACCGCTTATAGTCATTATTATCACCAATTCCCAAGATGCGATATTCAGCTGTACATTTTTTGCATAAATATTGTCACAAAATAGATTCCAATATCTATTCTGCACAGTGCACACACTCATACTCAATACGTATATGTTCACGCTTCAGAACACAGGGAAATGAGCAACAACAAACAACATCCATATGAGAAAAATGATTGACTGTCGATTTTCTTCTCTATCTCCCTCTCCCTCTCCCTCTCTTTCATTAAATTCGATAGGTTAAATACTTTAAAAAAAAAATCAAAACAACCAAAAACTACAAATTTTGCATTTGACGTATTTAGTGTATCGTACAAATTTGGAATAGTGGCAATGTTGTCAGGGCTGATTGGCGTTCCGTTCGGTTCATATTTGGCCCAGCAATTTCGCAAGATCAATCACAGTAGCGATCCACTAATATGCGCTTGGGGATTATTCATATCAGGACCATTGGTCTATGTAGCCCTGTTAATAGCTCGCTACAGCAACGGTTGGTGTTTTTTCGTCATTTTCTTAGCAGAAGTAGCGCTCAACTTATGTTGGTCCATTGTTGCTGATATACTGTTGGTAAGCACAAACCATGTGTGTTGAGCCGAGTGAAAGTGAATCGAAATGCGGCAAATTTGACAATCGCATAGAAAAAGACCAAAGAAAAAATGACGTCATTCATTCGAAAACGTAGAGATGTGCCGCGAGAAGATGAAAAAAAAACGATTCGCGGACTGATTAATTTCTAATTAGGTTATTTTTTTTCTCTCTCTCTCTCTCTCTCTCTCATCTAGACGAAAGTAGCTACTAAGTAAGGCTTTCTTCATTCAAAGTTTATATTATTATCACTTTCTAACATTCGCATTCACCTTTAAAAACCACCTTATTTTCAAAACAAAATAGACGTACTTTCATATATTCTCTTTTCACCAAGTTGCATCTGTATAATGTACCATTGCATTTCGACAGGATTTCAGCGCAAGGGATTATTTTTTTTTTTTGTATCGAAAAATTCCGTTTCATAAGCAAATTGTGTGTATGTGTTATTTCTATTCTCATTGCTTCAATCATTCGATCTGACAAGCGTGCGCATCTGTCTCTCTGCGTGTGAGGAGAACAGAATGAAGAATATAATCAACTTTCTATTGTAAAGAAAAAAGAAACATGTGCTGCAGCTTCACTACCGCACACAATTTATCGTGCAATACGTGTAGCGAGAAAAAATAGCAATGTGTTCTATATGATATATCATAGGCGATTTTTTTTCCGGTTTCACGTTTTGTAGCACGCGAAACGCCCTTGACTAAATATATACATGCATTGTATTGCTTTAGCTCTCAAATTCGTTCATCTTAAAACAAAGAATTGCTTTTTTAATACCTGCTGACAAAAAAACAAACAAACAAACAATACACATTAATCCATTACATCAATTGTTATTATCATACGTTCCATTTTGCAGTGTGTCCCTTCGGTTCGGCGCGATAACAATGATTTCTGGCATTATTGGAGTCCCGTTAGGTACTTATTTAACGCAAAAGCTAAAAAAAAACTCGAGCCGAAATGATCCGATCGTTTGCGCTTGCGGTCTATTTATAAGCGCACCGCTGTTAGCCGGTGGTATGATAATGATTACCCAAAACGAGCCGATTGCCTATGTATTAGTGTTCATCGGTGAGATTGCACTGAACTTAAATTGGGCAATCGTCGCTGATATTTTATTGGTAAGATTGTGTTCCTTTTAATTTAGAATTGGTTTTTGCTCTCTCTCTCTCTCTCTCTCTCTCGCTCGCTCTCTCGCTCTTCCTCAACAATTCTTTGTTTTGTTTTTTTTTTCTCGTAATTATTTTGTGTAAAATTTACATTTTTCGTGTTCCAAATTAGAACGCCTTCATCTTATCAAAGTAAACAAAAGCTCCATATACATGTATATTTATAAACGAAACGAAACGAAATCGTAACTAAAAATTACGCTAGTATTCGCTATTCGTTCATTTTTATTGGTGGATGGTTCCAATGTTTTACGAAGAAAACAAAATTACCGAAAATTCTGTGTTTCTCACACTTAACTTTCATCTTTTGTTGTTATGGCTCGAGAGCGCACACAAGTGAATGTTAAACTAGTTCGGAATGTCAAAACAAATCAACCGCAATTTTTTAAACCAAAAAAGAGAAAACAATGCGTTTGGTTTGGCATATTTTTTTTACCATATTTTGGTCTCTTCTTTTCTGCTGAACAATCTTCTTCGGATTTGGGCAAATACACTAATGGATCTTTTAAAATTTTTCAAAACACACACAAAAAATCGTCTCTTGTGAATGTAGCTAACAATCCATCATTTCTATCAATACTACTATCATTACTAACCATTTCCAACAAATTGAATCAGATTTTGGTAGCCTCCTTTATACCTCACATTTTTCTAAAATTAACAAACAAAAAAAAAAAATTGTAGTTGGTACTAAACAAACAAACATCATTTTTGAATGGGGAATTAATGTGTGGGTTAAATGTAATCAATCAAATAACTCTTTTAGTTCCATTAATCACACAACAATGGCACGAATAAAATAACTTTTAATTGGCTCAAAACTGGCTGGTTGTAAAAAAACACACACTTTTCTCATTTAATTTCAACATTTTTTTCAAACAAATTTATTTATTCATCGTACTGTCCTTCTTATAATTGTCAAAAGACCTGGAACAATCCAAATGTTAATGCAAAGAATAATGAATGTATTCAAGAAAAAACTAATTCTCATCCCATGCGTCAATATTTTTTCTAAGCAGATCAAAGGTTGTTTGGATATATCATTCCTTGCATGCCATTTGAGAATTAAAACAAATACTATACTTATCTGTCGGTAATTGAAAATTTGCAATTCATTGCATCGAATGAGTTGATAATTCGACATTTTGACAGTTGTAAGTGAGGCAATTGTGAATTGCAAATTGCAAATTTAACGCACACACCTTTTCCTGCCTTCGATTTTAACCGTAAAAATGCGCAGATTTATTGTTTGTAAATGACCAGGCGGGTGAGATGTTGTTTTGAGCAATTTGTACTAGTATTTCAATTTAGTAGAAAATGCGATGAAGTGATTCAAAAAAACTGATAATTACACCGTGAATGATTTAAACACAAACTGTGGTGTTGGTATTGCAATGGTTCGAAATAATTGATGCACACAAATAATTATGGACTGAATACAACAAAACGGACAATTATAGCGCACCATACTTGTCATTATATTAATTAACATCTGCTAATTACTAGTCGGAATTTGTCCACTAATCTCCATTGCGTAGTAGCATGTATAACAACGTCCGTTCAATTCGTTCATTGTACTATTTTTTTTTTCTGTTTTTCTTTTCTAATCATTTCTGTTAATTGTAAAATCTGATCAGTCAACTTCCTGGTTTAAGAGATTGAATCGATAAAATTCTTAATTGTTCTCGAAATACGAGACAAAAATAAAAACGAATTGTCAAATTGCCGTATGATGATGTAGAGAGCAAATCAATTGGCCTAATACTCGAGATCGCATGACATTGCTGTTCTAACATTCTATTTATTTTCAGTATGTTGTGTTGCCAAACCGGCGATCAACAGCAGAAGCCTTCCAAATCCTCATATCACATGCCTTCGGTGACGCGGGTAGCCCATATCTTATTGGTGTGGTAAGTGAACATTCATCGTTTTCATTGCTTTTGCGAGATTTTGAGAATAAAATTTTTCTTTTCCAATAATTTTCGGCACTTTTCATTACAATCAAATTCCGAAACTAAAAAAAAAAAACTCTGTTTTTTTGTCATTAACCGAATAAATCATCTAATTTTTCGTTTAACAAATTCGAATAATAATTGTTTTTCCCCTTTATAGATTTCCGAAACGTTAAAGAGAGCGTTGCGAAATGGAGCTGATGTGTCCAGTGGTCTTTACCATCAAGGAAACTTGACTGATGCTCACGCGTTGGCACACACAGCTCCGCAACCAGAGGTAAGTGATACTCGATTTGATCTTAATCGTTAGATCCAAATGGAAGAAAAAACGCTTAATCACACAAATCGTTTTCTATCCACTTTCAGAACAAAGATTTAGTGGAGTTCCGGTCGTTGCAATATGCATTGTTTGTTACCTGTTTTATAGAAATACTTGGTGGTGTATTTTTCCTGATATCTTCGATGTACATATTAGGTGATAAGAAGAAAGTTGAGGAGGCGATTTCCGGTAATTAGCAGCACCATTTTTCATGCGATAAAATGTTTGGTTTGGTTTTACTAATGGCGTTAAATACCGTTTTTCATTTTGTACATTTTACAGGTAGTCAAATTCACGAAGGGACCTCTACTCAGCCAACATCACATGACCAACCCAATGGCGAATGTCGTTATAACCCAGCGATCGAAAATTTCAGTGATTAAAGAGATTAGGCAATGGTTTTGTAGAGCAGAAGGAGAAAACCTGAGTTTTTAATTATAATTATAAATGAACGAAAACAAAATGAACGAAAACAAAGACAAGAACTAGCAACAAGTAAAAGAAAAATTCTTTCAAAACAAGCCTCATTTAAGTAATCATTTCGCAATAATTGTGTGCCGCTTCTCGAAACCAGAGCATGAAATGTGTTTAAGCAAAGTCATGATTTTCACTACATTATTTTCATTCTTTTTTGGCATGCAGAATATTTTTGTTCGTAGTTTCCATTTTCATTCATTTCTCATGAATCAACTACTATTACCTTTTTTTTTTAAATTAAAAAGAAATTTAAATTGTATTTATAGCTTTTGGTTATTCGTAAGAGAAAAAAAACTATGCAAATGGCTGAAATAAAACTGAACAATGTGAAGTAAATTTTATGGTTTTTATTTGCAAAGGAAAATTCTTTCAAAGAAAAATTACAGGTTTTTTTTTCTTTCGAAAAGGTAAGTAATAAAAAAAAAAATTAAAAATATTATTTGATTTTGAATTTTTATTCGAATGTGATTAAATTTATTTAAATCCGAATTTTATTCATTATTTCTAAGAGAATTTTAAAACACGTGCGCTTGAAAAATACAATTGGTTTTATGTGAAGCGATTGACGCATTTGTTTTTCTGTTTTCAACAATTTTCTGAATCTTAACCTAGTTTTTATCAATTTTTGAATTGAAATGCGAAATTGCAAAATGTTGTAGAAGTCGAAAGATGCCTATGATTTGGAAATATAGTTTGAAAATGCTTTAAATGCTCAATACTAAAATAAATCATATCAAATTGTGTACCCCAACTGTATGGAAAGGAAAGATCCGTTTTTTTTTTAATAAATCAATATGGATTCATTTTTCCTGCAAAAATGAAAGTGATTCAGACAGTGCTTAGCGGAATAATGAAATTGAAAATTGATAAATAAAGTCACTAATTGACAACACATTTTATGTGTGCTTTTTCATTTAATTTGCACTAATTCATTTTTAAATTCTAATGAAACTATTCAAGTTTAAAATTCATCGCGGTGTGTTGACGGTGTTGAAGTGTCCAATTTTTTCGGTGGGTTGAATTGGTTAGGTTTTTCTTTAGGTTTCTTCTGTGGTGGTACATCAGCGATACGTTCGTAAAGTAGAACATGGTTTCCGACACGATTATCGGTGTATTCCGCATGGCTGATATTTTCGATAAGTTTGTAATTTTTGAGAAAGTCACCAATTTTCGGTTGTAATTTATCAAAGAGGATGATATGCGTAGGCATTGCTGATTTTGGATGAACAGGTACGTGAGATCGAAGCCAAACGGCTGGATTGGTATAGAATTGATCAGCTTCATCGATGTAATTTTTTTCACCATTCAAATTGGGTTCGCATGTTAAAAATCGTAGTGAAACATTTTGATGAACGTGACTGTACATCGGTGTTGAATGGCATGGCATTAAAAACAAGAATTTCGCCTGATTTCCATCCGTATCGCGAAATTCGCGTGCAATGCGCTCAATCGGAAGCATAACATCGATGGTGCCGCGTTGATGTACCCAGCTCAAATAGACGGCTGGAATTGCATTGGAAATGAGCAAGAGCAGAGCAACAATCCAAATGGTAATACGTGATGCATCGCGGCTCCAGTTCTTCATCGAATCAGCGGTAATGTGCAAGCAAATCGGCAGCAACGGCAAAATGAAACGAAACTCTTTGTGTGGAAGCGCACCGTATACGATGAGTGTGAAAAGTGTGGCGATTAATAGATTGAATCGATCCGGGTAGACTTCTCGGTTTTGCAGTGTTTGAACAACAGCGAAGAAGAACGGTAATGTAACTAGTCCAAGAATAGTTGGCAAACCGACAATAAAGTACCAATGCCATGGTTGTGTTCCATAGAAACTGCCTACTTCCTCGAGTACGTTGAGTTTGAAAAATTCAAACGGTGTCACAATGAAACGGTCATATGCATACGAATCCAATCCGAAAGCAATTGCGCCAACAACTAACGCAATCAGCAAATACCGCTTGATCAATAGCTCGGCAACGGAATGAATGGACTTTCGCATATGAATGATGCACAACGGAAACCATAAAATGGCGGCCGTTGGCCGTATAAAGCACACCAGGGCAACGATCCATAGGAATTTATGCGAATCCGGCTCATATTGGCGTGGATAGAGGCTCAGTGCGATCGTTGTTAAACATGTTTCGACCGTATTGAGTAGCGTTCGGGTGGCCGTGTAAAACCAAAACCACGATGTTACTATCAAAAATACGGACCATTTGCTGCATTCGCCCCATCGATAGAAACAGTAGTCGCTGAATGCGGATAGTAGTGCTTGTAAAATGCGCGGTGCCAACACCAAATTTTCCACTTGATCTAGACCCAACCAAGCGAGTGCCCGATACAATGCGGCTATGCTCAACGGATGTACGTAACTCCGTATACCCTTTGACCATTCCCATGTCAAGTGACCATATCCAAAGGTTAATTTATGGCCCACTTCTAAACTTTGCCAATACTCATCTGGCACATACCATGTTTTCACCACAAACACAGACAATATTCGAATCACCAAAAATGCCGCAAACACACCGTATTGCACCATTGCCAATGGCTGCTGCCACTTTCGCTCTTATCTCTGAAACGAAAACACAGGCACAAAATTAGCAGCGAACACATTTTTGATGATAACCATAATCATTGGGGAAAAAAATTGAGAATAAAATGCATGAATGTTTGCGTCGATTTTTTTCTTACACAACAAAATTTGATGCGATATTCAATGCCGGTAATCGTGTGTTTACTTCTCGGTTCTATGACGTTTTGCCGTTGAAAAAACAATAATTTGTATACACACGCATACACTGATGTGACGTAATTTCGGCTTGTAAGTGGGCTCCCGCACACTTTGGTTTTTGATAAATAGAGATCTGTCAAATGAGAGCAAAGATATGCAACTGAAAACTGATTTTCTTTTTTTTTTTTCTTTTAACTGTAATTTTCTTTTACATTTTTTGTATTAAAATAACAAAATTGAAAACGTTCTATTCATTTCGAATTTAAAATTGTTAATTTTTAATTGCATTTATATGGAAAAATTCCAAACGAACAAAAATGTGCATTATGATTCAAATTAAATGCACTGAATGTGTCAGAGGGCGCACTCACTGAAGCGCACAACTGACAGATTGATGACGTTTTATATGTTCATGTTCTTTCTCAATAGTTCAAAATCGATGATACCGCAACACTTTTTGAGTTTTATCTCACAAATCCAGCTGACACAAAAGAGCCAAAAACGTGACAGAGTGACTGAGAGAGAAAATGACAGAATGAAAAAGAGCGAACGAGAGAGAGAGAGATAGAAGGGTTTGGATGTACCTGCAATAATCCATTCTCGAGCTAGAAAAAGTACCAACGCATTCATATTGCCAGTGTAATGTTTGATGTGCTTTAAAGCACTTGTGATCTTTTGATGTGTTTTATTCACTACTCTGCTGCTTAACTGGCTGTGTGAAATTTTTTTTTTTCCAGCAGTCATAAAAGAGCAAAATAAAAAGCTTTAACCAAACACGCGCAACAACAAAACACGAAAATAAAAAGTGCAGTGACAATATCCCCAAAAGGCACGTGAGGAAAGCCAGATAGAAAGAGAAATAATATCAAACTTCAAAGAAAACTTATAATATGATTTGTTTCATTTGTCGCGCTCAGCCTTCGGCAGGCTATAGTTTTGATTCATTCCAGATGACTACATTGCATTAATATAGCAAATTGGTAACATTGTATGTAATTAAATAAATTTGGCATATGTTGATTTCGTGTGTATATTGACAAATGCAAATGTTTGTTCACTTGAATTTTTTCACTTTATTTCAGAATGTTCCAGCTGATGAATTGTTATGTTTTTCCTGTTGGAATACATTATCATCATTGAGAGGACGAATACTGGTCTTCAAAAGTGAACTACTGCCGCCAAAAAATTACAGATTGTGTTCTTTGTGCCGTAACATCATTCGGCCAGGCGATCATAGTTCTAAAACATAGTTCCAGCTCGGTTGATTTAATTTATAAAGCAAACAAATGACATCGTACGTCTTAAAAAAAAAGATTTCTGTCTATAGTCGTTTTCGTGTTGACTGACAAATGCAAATGCTTTTTTATTTTAATTCATCACTTTCAGGATGTTTCAACCACTGATTTGTTATGTGTCGCATGTTGGAAAGAATGTTGGTTGGCTTTGTATGACCCAAAAACGTTGATCGAAAAAACAGAGATAGTTCAGAAGATCCGAAAAATTGAGATGTGCGAATTCGTCCGGAAAGAAGCCGTTGTCCAACTGAACACAAAATTTACACCATAAATCCACTGGATCAATCAAATCATCCTATCCCAAATGTTAGAATACCCACATTAAGAAAAGCACAAGCAAAGCAAAGCAACAAAAACAAAATCAAAATCGTTCATCTCATAAAATAACCAGAGCGTGTTATGAGCTGATGTCAGCAGCACTAACTAACGACAGCTGCTGATATCAGCTGCTGATGAGTATGTGATGAGTTATTGTAACGCATCCACAGTACCAAATTCATATTGCCCTCCATATTAAGAGAAAAATTTAAGGTAAAACTGCCAGTTCCATTGAAAAAGCTCTTTGAACACTCATTGCCCAGATGTACGAGTAGAGTCGGTCCAGAGCATGTACGGGTTGAAAGTTAAAAATGAACATGACTTTTTATGAGCGAAAAAATGTTGATAAATAAAACCATTTGAATCGAAAATTTGATAGTGAAAAATGATAGCAATTAACCCGCAGACGGGCAAGTCGGACCAAAGTGGACCCATAGTTTAATGGCTGTAAACGTGCCATATGCCGATAAAATTGAATGAAAACCAACAGAGATATAATACTCTGTTTTTTTTTTCCAAATTTTGTGGTTTTCAAGTAGTACATACAATTTGACATATTAAGAGCTGAATTTTGAGTATACACCATAGCTCCACTGATGCTGAACTAATTTTGTTAAAGCATGGCACGTTTGAAAGATGCATCTTTCTACTTCCCCACTATATACTACTTTTTATGATACATTGCTTTTTACACAGAAAATATTACCAATTCTGATGGAGAAATGGCTATTTTTTGCGGTTTTTGACATTTGACGAAAATTCAAATGAATAACATGTCTCTGTAACTTTTCTAAGGTTCATCCAATTTTATCGGTATATTGCGCGTTGGAATGATTCATCTTTCTAGTTTTTGGAATAATACTACTTTGGATGATATATTATGTATTCCCAATTTTACAGCCATAAAACCATGGTATCCAGCAAATCGATTTAGCTCCACGGAGCGTCATCTAATGATCGATGTTCAATTTTTTGTTTGTTGTAATACGTGGAAAGAATCGAAGAATACAATGCAGCACCTTTTCCGCACAAGAATATAGTTTTTATATATAATATTTATTGAAAAACTACCTTCTTGGACCACAACGGACCCACTTGCCCGGTTGAGAGTTAACACGTGCAAAATTTTTCAAAGTAACTAATTGGCTTAATCATTTGGTTGACGCTTACCATCGTTCAAATAACAATTTTTTTGGTTGATAAATTTCACCGAAAAAAAAAACACGAAAGAGATTAGAACAAAACAAAAACCAATCCATTTACTAATGATGAAATATTTATTATACTTTTCATTTAGTTTAACAACATATAATACAATATTTGGATAAATTCATAAAATCATGACTCTCTAAATAAAGTGCAAGTAGGACATGTGCACATTTTTTTTTACTTTTACTTTTCCTTGAAAATGTCCTTCTCTGTTGTTGTTTGTTCAAATTTTCAATAAAATAAATCGTTCGTCACCAAAGTTCGTCACAATATTCTCTGCAACAAAAGGCATAGCCTCGTTTCATATAAATAAATTGGTTTACTTAGAAATTAAAAACAATAAATTAAACAAAAACAAAAAAAAAATAAATTCTTGACTCTTTTTTCTTTTCTTTTTTTTCTCTTGCAATTGAGGGAATAGAAAAATAAATTTTGTTCTACACACAACACAATTAAACACCCGCATTGATTCTGTCGGCTCTCGTTATATCTCTTAAAATACTCGTTGATGTGGACGAAAAAAGGAATATATAAATTAAAAAAAAAAAACAATTCTTTTTAGACTGTTTGTGTTGATTTAACTGTTTAGAGCAGATTCGACGGTAGCGATGGTGGTGGTGGCGTCGGCAGCGGTGCAACACCCCAATCGAAGTATTTGCAAGGTATTCATTGTTCAATGTGTTGAAAACATGAGATGAAATATTTGTTTGTTTTTAAATTGTGCATCAATAAATATATGAAAAAGCATTTTCACTCACAAAATATTCATCTGCTTCGATACACCCACGCAAACGTACATATTGCGAACGCATCGTTTTTCAACGACACCAATAAACAATCGATAAAAACGTATTGTCATGCCGACTATTATTTTTCTCTTTCTCTCCCTGGCAGTTGTAATATTCAGTGAGATGTGTTTGAGATGTTATCAGAGTAGTTTTCGAAAAAATTTCGTTTTTTTTTTTGGCTTTAAATCATCATTCATTTGTCCTCTTTACAATAATTAATGGGTTTGTTTGATTAGTGTGTTGAATTTTGTTTAAATATTTGTTCGCAAGAGATAGTCTTCTTGAAAACTGAATTGTCGATTTGGTTTCCTTCTTTAAATAATGTTGGCTTCACTGGCACACTCCTCTTCAACTGTGATGTACATTCCTTCCTCTTCGTACGTTGAATCGTGTTTGGCCAAAATACGCAGAAGTGGACGCAATTTCAACCACCATTGATGTTTTGGGATACGTTGCCTGAAATTGAGAACAATTTGGAATTAAAAAAACTTTGCCGGGTTCAATCCGAGAAAAAAATTGCATTTCCAAACACAAGCCCAGTGGTTGCGTGTATCATTATGTTTGATATTTCATTGATTGGAGAAGAAAAATCTCCGTTTTTGTTTCGTATCTTCATTGAGCATTGTCCAAATATAAAAAAATTCGGATAAAAGTAAACATTCGGCAGATACTCACTGGAAATTCGTTTCAGGAATAAGTTCTTTGACTGGTGTAAAGCGGTATTGACGACGAACGAGGCCGAGCAAGCAAGCGCTTTCTGGTCCATCGGCATTGATTGTGCCATCATCGCCGGTGCATGCTTTCAATTGTTCGACCATCCATTCGACGCATTTAGCGGCCATTTTGGTGCCCATATTACGATCGAATGGTGTTGGTGAACCGCCTTGTTGCATGTGTCCCAATACGTTCATTCTGGACGAGAATAATCCTCTGCCTTCTTCTGTGTACAAACGATGAATGAATTCCGTGTTGTAGCTTTCGCATGCCTTTTCATTACGCAAAATCAATCCACGTTGAACGCCCTCGCTCATTTTCGATGCCATGTGTTGTACATCCTGTTGCAAATCCTTTATCGAAAATTTCTCTTCAAAAATGTATGCAGCATCGGCACCACCAGCCAAACCAGCCAATGTAGCCAAGTAGCCGCAGTAACCGCCCATGGTTTCAATGACAAATACACGTCGCTTTGTACCTTGGGCCGATTGACGGATGCGATCGCAAATTTCGGTGATTTCATTCAAACCGGTGTCGCAACCAAGTGAGAATTCCGTTCCAGGAACATTGTTCGAAATAGTCGATGGGATGACAACCATTGGGATACAGAATTCCTTGAATTTTTCACGTTGATCGGCCAATTGGCCACAAGCATGGTACGCCTCGAAACCACCGATAATCAATAGACCGTGAATTTTGAATTCTTTCAATTTAGCTGCAATTTTATCGAATTTTCCTTCGGGAAGGGTACGTTTGGTGCCAAGGAAAGCACCACCTTGACCAACCCAACCAGTCACATCAGACCTGAAACGATTTGGAAATGTTAATAATGGAACATTCATTCGATGAGGCGATAAGAGTTTTGGATGGAGCGATAATATTACCAATGCATCTGTTTGATATTTCCAGCCATCAATCCTTCAATACCGTCGTGGATACCGAAGACAGAATCACCACGATAGATACAATTACGCACAAATGAACGAACAGCTGCGTTCATACCGCAAGCCGGTGCTCCAATGTGCATAACAGCCAAACGATATCCATCCTAAACGACAATTAGCCAAAAATCAATGACGATTTCGATATTTTAAGAGTTCAGAAAGATCCAACTTTGAAATGAATATCTCTTACGGCTGGTTTTCCATCCTGTGTTTCCTTTGGTGGCTTTAAGCGAGTCAACATTTTGTATGTTTCCAAATTACGAGCGAATGAACGTCCACGCAATTCAACGGCCAATTCAAATTGTTTCTCAGCCATAGCCTTTGCAACGGCTTGTGTACGTTCAACACATTCCATCAATGGCACACGAATAGCCTATCGTAAAAAAAAATCACAATGAAATTATATGAGTAAAATTGATTCGTTACAGGTTAGCAGTTGGTATTTATCCAACAGTTTATCCAAGTTACAGTAACAATCTAATTAGCATTTGGAATTTGTATAAGATCAATGTCGACACATACTTGATTACCATCCAATGACACGACACATGGAACTTCGGATTCATCAGCTTCCATTAAAGCCATAACGGCTTCAGCTCCCATACGGCATCCCTAATTGAAATAAAATGAATAATTTCAAAATAAAGTACCAATCGAAAAAAATTTTTACTCAAAATTTCTTCATAATTCCATTTCATTGCACTAAATAATCGCTATTCAAATGTTCAATAATTTCAATTAACCCAAATTGAAATCGATATCAGAGTATGAATCGAATTAATTCGTAGCACGAATGGAATTGATATTGAAACCAATTAATTTGTATGCCAAATGTATTTATAAAATTAACAACGTACCAAAACACGATCAAAAGCGCTTGGATTGCCTCCACGTTGTACGTGACCCAATACAGTGATACGAGTGTCTTGATTCAATTGGGATACGACGGTTTGACGGACCAGTTCAGCGGTAATGGGATTTCCATCACGATCAATGGCACCTTCAGCAACGATGATAATATTCAAACGCTGACCAGCATTTCGTTCCTAATTACCGACAAATGTTCCATTTAATTATTCAGCTCTTATAATTAATTAGTATTATATAATTTTGCATTAATTCATTTCGAATAGATAACATGTTGATGATTGTTCAATGAACAAAAAAGAAATTTATCTAAAATGAAATCAAAATCGATTTATCCAAAGAAAACAAAAGACATTTTTCAACAAGCACATTTAGTTGAAAATATCGAATTCTCAATCGTTTATATCTTTCGATGTCTTCTTTTTCTGTCCCAGACAAAGGAATATTCGAATAATGTAAGCCAAAAATATCTTTTGGCACATCGATAATTGCCAATAACTAATTTGATGACATTTTATTTTAAACGCTCGCAAAAGTTAATAAAAAAAACCTTTTGCAAGTAAACAAAAGAAGAAACGAAAGGGGCAAAGGATCAAATTGATTTAAAATAATTAGCATATTGATGCGAACACTTTCGAAAATGATTGTTCAAAAGCAATGAATCGATTGAATCGAAATTGATGCTTGATTAATAAAAATGTGAAAGGTTCGGAACTTTGATTTCGGGGGTGTTTGAGTAAAAAAAAAGCGGCAATATTATGATTTATTGATTAAAATGAATTTAATTGAGCAAAAAAAGAGAATTGACGTGTGCGTGTGCGTGTGCGTGTGCGTGTGCGTGTGCGTGTGCGTGTGCGTGTGCGTGTGTGACTGTATCTTTCAAAAAAAAAACATTGATACATTATCTTCAATCAATTTCAATTGTCGAAGAAATGAGCAAAGCTGTTTGCAAATTTTGACCTTTGTGAACAGAAGAAAAACATCGAAAATTGAACAGATTATCTAAATAATTCATCGTCACAATTACGTTAATTGTACATCAAAGTACGAACCAAAAAAAGTGTGTACTCATTAAATTAAATTAAATTAAAGTCATGCACTTGTTTTCTAGTGAATCATAGCAGAAGAATCGAAACATAATATATGCGCCATTTAATTGTGTAGAAATAACAGAAGATTTCATTGATATCCAGATTAGAAGATAAACGTCAATAATATTAAATCAAGACAACGAAACCAAACAGAAAAAAAAACACGAATTTTGTAATTAGAAAATGAAATTGAAATTATTCTTGCCTGTGATAATTGTTTACATAAACGTTGCGGCCAATCGGCAGTTGGTGGATCCTCTGGGATAAATATATAATCGGCTTCACCACACAATCCCGCTACAACGGCCAAGTAACTGTAATTGGTGGGTTATTTACGAAACAAAACTGTTAAATGTGTATGTATTGTGAGTGTGTGTGTGTGTGTGTCGTTTGTGAATTGAAGCTGCGTAAATATGCTTTGTATCATATTGATTTAGTTTGTATCTAGGTTTGTATATTGTGTGTATCCTGTGGTCGATTTGAGTTCAGTACAAAAATTGGAATTGAGTTGAATTGAATTTGATTGGAGGTGTTGTAATACGGAGGAGTACTGGCATACGATTTAAAAAAGAAACAATCGAATGACAAATGTATGTGATGCTTCGGACAATGAGGCTCGATAGCATTAGTGAGTGATACACAGAAGAGGGGCGCGGATTGGATTACAACAACAAAACAGCAAAGTCGATCTCAAAAAATGCACATTGATTGAGCTTGCCTGAATCAATTTATTGCAGAGTCTTGTCGGCCAATCGGTCGGCGGTGGAGATTCAGGGATGAATATGTAGTCGGCTTCTGATATTACACCACTAACCACTGCCAAATATCTACGATATTTTGGTTTAATTGGTATTTTATTTTTCGTTTTTCTCTAATGTTTCATTCTTTCTCATTCTCTTCGAAAATTTATATTTAGATACAGGCCGCGAGATGCTTAAGCTACACTACGCAGTATGCGAAACGATACGCTGGCAAAACGTTGGCGCTGAAGCGCAAACACTTTGACAATACATCGAAAAAGTTTGCGTATGCGTGCATCGTAATATGCTGAGTCATTTTTTGCGCGTGCAAAAACAATTGCCAAAGTGTTTGCATCCACGTTAATTTTTTTTCTTCTTCCAATTGATCAAACATTTAGCAAAGGATAAGGAAATTAGACACTCACCCACAATGCCGTCCCATGACTTCCATAATGAATGTTCTTTGATGTGAGTATGCTGTGCTGACGATGGCATCAATGGCTTCGATGATACGATGCAATGCCGAATCTGTGCCGATGGTCATGTCTGTGCCACAAAAGTCATTATCAATTGAACCAACCATGCCAGCAATATGTAAAACACCATATTTTTTGCGTTGTTCTTCGTCAATTTTCTTGTCTTTCAACAGTTCGTCCAACAAACTGCTCCATTCTTGACGGAACAAATTTGCACCGGTCAATGAACCATCACCACCAATGACAACCTATACGCGTTTTTTAATCATTCAATACACAAAAACAGAAGACAACAAAAAAAATGCACAAAATATTAAACTCAATTAGGAATATAACTAAATTAGTGATATGGTCATTTATCTACTCGTCATCGCTATCAATTACTTCCAATTTGAAATTATTTGCACTCGATAAAAAAAAAATTAGCCAAACATAAAAATGTTCGGAGGAATAGAAATAAGAATAGCTTATAAAAACAAAGTCTAAACTCCAAAAAAAAATTGAGACATTAATTAAAATTCCATTCGCATGTCATGTGTACAAAAGGGTACGCAACGGATTGAGAAATGTGTGCAATTGGAATTTCATCATTTTCAAGTAAACTAAGTAAATGACGTTACCAAATTTGTGATGCCATGTTTGATGAGATTGTTTGCGGCTTGCAAGCGACCTTCACGTGTACGGAATGCAGCACATCGAGCAGAACCGATGACAGTGCCACTATTCAAGATAAAAGTATACCGATGATAAATAGCGAGAATTAATCACACTGAGAGAATACATGATTTGTTTGTATTTTTTTTTTCTGCTTCGTCTTGATTTTTATTACCCTCGATGAATGATGCTTGATACTGATGCCCAATTGGCTTCTTCGATGTTTTCACCGCCATCAACCATACCTTGGTAGCCTTCGCGTATGAAGTATACCTAAATGGTGAAAGTAATGAACGGACGATACGAAGTGTGTATGTGATAAAACTTGCATCACTATGGTGAAATTGTGAGTGGTACGGAGTTGGCGGACAAGCGCACGCTCACGTACACTCCAACAACAATGAACAACAAAAAAATTTCATCAATTTTCGATAGATATCGAATTCAATGTGCGTACCTTGCAACCGAGATAAATGCCCATACGCACACATGCACGTACGGCTGCATTCATACCCTGCGAATCACCGCCACTTGTTAGCACAGCCAGCCCCTTGCCCTTGTGTGACCCGCGGGCAATGAAGCGGTGATTTCTTAATTCAGCCATCGGTTTCTTCTCAAAAGTCTAATTTAATAATTCAGGGGGACTCAAATCAAAATAATACACGTAATTTTTCTTTTTCAAAACTCATAAAAAAATCATTTCACGCCAATCAGAATAGAGTGAAAACAAATTGTAAAATGTATAATGTGCACAGAAGCATTTTGAAATAAATTTTGTGCGTATCAATTCGGTCTTTTTTTTATCGTTATATAACGATAATAAAAATATATATCAACAAACCAATTCAATCGCAAAATTAAATACAGATTAAGACTTGTGTCAAATTAAAAAGCAAAAAAAAAAAAAAAATGAAAATCAAGTCAAAAAGAACTGCATGCATAAAGTGTTTGTGTTTGTTTTTGTCGTATAATCAATCAAAACAATTAGTGATAATTTCAAACGAAGAGATTTTATAGAGATTTTAACGAGAAAAAAAAATAGTTGTGTGTGATTATTTTGAAATGAAAAGCAAAGGCACAGTGAGGAAAACGAACACAAAAACAATAGAAGAGAGAAGAAAAGAAAAAAATGTAAAGGAAAAAGAATAAAAAAACGAACTTTATTTAAAACATCTTTGTTATAAAAAGAATGAAAAGCACATATACATATACACTGGCACGTAACAGTTTTTTTTTTGTTATTCAGCGATAGGCTTACCATTTGAACGAAATTATCAGTATTCACACAGCACTTATTTTAAAATTCAATAGTTATATTCCAAAATGTATGTTTTATTTTAGAAAAGCGACTGACAAAGCCGATATACGTCTTACTTGCAGCAGTCAATAAATAGTTTTCTTAGTGTGTTATGGACCCGGAGAGTGCACAGTATGATTGAGAGACCAAACTTGATACACCAAACGAGCGAATCAACTGATCTTCAATTACGCAAAAATGAGGTAACAAGGTGACATATTTTTGACATTTCAAGGTGACCTTATGTACACAAACATTGGATAAATGTCGTCTGTGCCATCTGTTGGTGTGCTCACCAAAACCCATCGCTACCTCCGAAAATATACACAAATGTACCAAATGCACACGGTGAAAATCGAAATAAAGTTAAAAACAAAAATTATTTTACATTCACATCGCTTCGGTTCATATGGAATTAAAAAAACTGTTGAAATTTTTCTTATAGCCGTGCATAAATCCCAAACGAAAATTTAAAACGGTTTGAATGGCGCGCAGAGCTTTGGTGTGTATCGGTATTTCAATCTGTCATTCGTTCCGCATTGTACTTCATGCCAATTTGAATGTGTCAAATGCGATGATATCAAAACGTTTTAGTTGTGCTCATACTACACGTGGTCTTCACATCGTAAATTTAAAATTTTAACATTTATCGTGAAAAAACGCGCTGAAAAAATGGCAGAAGTAAAACCGATTGACAATGTTGTTGAAGAGCCGGAGGCAAAGAAGGCAAAATTGGACGCAGAAGAGGAAGAAGTTAAGGTTGCTGAACCAGCCGAAGAGTCGACAGCAGTAAAAACGGAAAAGCTTGAACAGGACATCATTGACCAGGTTGAATACTATTTTGGTGATGCAAATCTGTTCCGTGACAAATTTTTACAAGCCGAAACAGCAAAGAACGAAGGATGGGTACCGATCACAACATTGACTACATTCAAGCGTTTGGCATCGTTGAGCACTGACGTCAAAGTAATCGTCGATGCTCTGGATAAATCCGATTCTGGTTTATTGGAAATCAGCGAAGACCGTCAAAGCATTCGTCGTCACCCAGAACGGCCGTTGCCCGAAAAGAATGAAGAAACACGCAAAGAAATTCAGTCACGCACCGCATATGTCAAAGGCTTCCCAAAGGAATTGGAAATGCCGGATTTCATTGAATTTTTCAAAGACTATCCAAAAGTGTCGCACGTTGTCATCCGCAAATACTTGGACAAACCAACGAAAACGTACAAATCAAAGGGTAGCGTGTTTGTAACATTCAGTACACGTGACCAATGTGCCGCATTCCTAACACAAGACATTAAACACAAGGATACGGATTTAATCACAAAATGGCAATCCGATTATTATGCCGGCAAAAAGACGGAGCGTCAAGAACAGAAGAAGGAAAAGAATGCCAAACTTGAGCCAGAAATTGAACTGGCAAAAGGTGCCGTTTTATTAATCACCGAAATCAAACCGGACACCACACGCGATGTCATCAAAGGGAAAATCGAATCGTTAGAAGGTGATGTTGCTTTTGTTGAATTCAAAACTGGCGAAGAACGTGCATACGTTCGATTGTCCAACGAAAATGGAGCCAAAGACTTGCTGGCCAAATTGGATGGTGGCAAATTGAAATTGGGCGAAAACGAATCACCGGTCAGCGTGCTCGAAGGCGAAGACGAAGAAAAATACTTGGCCGACTGTGTTGAAAAGATGAAATTGCGTCGCAAAGCTGGCAACAGAAACAACAAATTTGGAAGCCGAAAACGAAAAGCCGATAATTAAGAGCACCCTACCCCGTGTGCGCTCATCGTTCTGATTCATACACATTAAGGCATCATATATTCGTTTACAAATTAAAATTTGTACAACCGATTTTCAAATTCCATACACTTTTTAAATAATAAAATCTATAAATTTCAGACACTGACACACGGAGCGTTTTTTTTTCTCTCTTCCTTCTTCTTCTTCTTTGGATTTGTTTTTGTATTGATGAATCATCGCTTGCATCAGCATTTTGATATCTTTTCAGTTGAAATCACCTTCTTCTTCTTCTTCTTCTTCTTCAAGCAGAACACAGGAACGGACAAAATGACACACACAAAAATGATGAAACGTATTACGAAATCATGAAATGTATTCATAATATTAATAATGTTCGCAATTGGTTTCAAATCATTTTTAAATTGAAGTTTTTAATTCGATTTTTAAATATATTCATTAGTTTATTATTGGAATCGCTATTCAGAGCTTGTGATATTTGACAACATAGATAGTTCTTTTCTTCTTGATTTTTTTTTTTCATTATTTTTAAATTTGTTTGTCTTGGGTAGATTTTTGTAAAACGATTTTCTTTGTTTGTGTTTGTTTTGAGTGTGGAAAAAATACATATATTGGAATATTACTTTTATCAAAAAATAATAATAATAATAATAATAACATCATCATCATCATAAATCGAAAGTTCTTTCTCTATTTCTAGCATCGTTTGCATGCGCTCAAAATAAGAATGAAAATCTGCTTTGTAAACTTCAATAAAACATTAGGTGTAAACAATCTACACTGCTCTAAAATATTTATATCTCAATTTTTTTTTCTCTTTTGTTTAAATAATTTTGATATGGTCAAAAGCTTGATCGTCTATCTTTTGTTTCAGTTTACATGTATGTGTCTCGATTTTTATTTTCGCTTTCTTCATGATATTCTATTTAATTTCATTTTTTTTTCCTATCAATAATTCATTTGTTTTAGCGAAGATTACAATAACTATGAAATCGCCCATTTTTTGTTTGTTTGGTTTTTTTTTTCTTCACTTTTTGCTGTCAAAGTAAATGTACAATTTTTTTTTGTATTTTTTTTTCACTTTCATTTCAGTATTCATCTAAATAATTTTTTTTTTTTTAGATCTTCACAACTTTGCTAGATCTTACATCACATCAATTAGATTTACAATTATGTGCTATTACAGAATTGGAACGATTTATCATTTATTGTTTTGTTTTTGTTTATACTTCAATTTAAAATCAATTAATAACTAGAAAAAGACTGATCAGAACATAAATTTGGCACGATGTAGTTAAAGTTTATTATCATAAATAAATGTTAAATTCTCTTCTTTTTTCTCTTCATTTTAGAACAATTTCATTTCATTTCATTTGTTTCGTTCATCTCATGGTTTTTTCCTTCTTCTTTTAAATCGTCTTCAATTTATTTGTTTGCGATTATGTAAGAAAAAAGAATATCGTTAATCAGTGAGAAATGTGTTTGTTTTTGTTAATATGCTAAACGTAGGGCGTTTGGTCAATTGTCGTCACCATCGCTGATTGTCAGTGTATCTTTGCAACTGTCGTTTAATTTTCGCTTTTTTATCATGGAACCTGTATTAATGTCAGTGGTGTTATCACTCGCCGTTGATTGTGTGTGATCCTTGGCACCACCCATCGATGAATTCGACTCATAGCTTTCGGTGCTGGCCTTTCGCTTTTCCGTTGACACGGATTCCACTTTTAATTTTTCCGCCAGCGCTTTGAGACTTGCCAGCGAATTATCACAATCGGTGGTATCGATGTCGGTCAAATTGATGCGTGCCTCTTCAATCATTTGATACGTGCCAAATGGCAATTTTTGTAAATTTTCCAATCGTTGCACATGCGTTTTCGAGCGTAAATGCTTGGCCAAATGGCCATGAATTCGAAACGCTCGACTACAATCCGAACACTCGAACGGTCGTGGATTCTTTGACGTTGAATTACCTTGCGTTTCGACAATATTTACTTTCGAACTGTGTGTTTCGGATCGCATGTGCTTCTGTAGACGGCCCTGTGTTTGGAAATTTATGCCACACGAATTGCATCGGAATTTCCGTTCTGGATTCATATAATGGATGTTCATGTGCAACACCAATTGATGGCTCTTTGGAAAACTAGCTGGACAGAGTGAGCATCGTGACGGTCCACCGTCTTCTTGAATAAATGCAACATTTGTGCGTGATACCGCGGCCGTGGAAGTACCACGAGGCAATGCAACTCTTGGCAAATCACTTGCATTGGCCGATTTACTTTTGAAGCCATCTTCGCCAACGACAACCGTACGTGCCGACATCAACGCATCTTGCCCCGGTACCAACGACATTACCGACGATCGTCTCACCTGTTTGCTACCGCTATCAGTCATTGCATCCGAATCAGACGATGTGCTGCTGTCATCAATCGCATTATCTTGTTCGTTAGCCAATTTCAAATACTCAGACGCGATATTTTTTGCACTCGATTCTTTGCGAACTGTTTTATCGCTTTGGGTTGCTGATAATGCTTTGTGGGCCGAACTGGAAGCGTCATGAATGGCTACACTCGTCTCAGCTGCTTTTGATGCATCCAATTTGACTGAATTGGCCGCAATTTCCGCCAGCGTTTCCATACCCGATTGATCGTTGATCCCTTTGGCCAGATCAAGTGTTTCATCGGTTGGCTTTGCAATGTGAAGCTCAACTTTGACCGTATCTTTGTCTGGATTTTCGATTATATGACCTTTTTCCGACGAAATGTTCATTTTTGCATCATCATTTACCGCTTGATTGTCGATCGACATATTTTCTGGTAAACATTGTTCATTTTTTGTCGGTTTCGTTTCCGTCATCGTCATTTTAGCATCATTTCTATCCAAATTGGCCGTAATCACCGATCGTGGCCGCGGACTTATTTCAATATGATCCAATTTTTTCGACAGCATCGAAAAGAAAGCCGGGCCCGATTCTTTGAAAAATGTATGGCTTGATTTTTCATCGAATGCATTCAACGTGTGCACTTGACTGAGTTTCATTTTTGACTTTTGCAGTGCACTTTCCGTTAAATAGGTTTGCAGGTGCATGTTGTTGGTGAGATTTGGCTGTTGACCATTGCAACTGGCCGGTGTTAAATTTAAATCGTATGACGGCGACGGTATGGCTGGCACTTTATCGCTCAGTGTCATCAGTGATTTTATTAGCTCGGCCGCACCAACGTACGATGGTTGTGTCATCGTTGATTTTGTTTCCATATCTCTTGATTCCGACGATGATGATGATGATGATGATGCGTTTGGCACATTTCGAGGCTTACTCAAATCAATAGCATCTGAACTGGCCGTTGTAATACGTTTGGATTTTGTTTCCGTCAGTATTTTACTACTTATTGCCGCTGCTGTTGCTGTCGCACTTATTTCAGGTGATAGGTGTATGCTCATCTTTGATATGACTGTATCGGTGGTTTTGCTAAAACCATCATGTAGACTCAGTGTAAATTCTGATTTATTCGATTGGTTTATTTTGGGCGCGGTGATTAAGTCACTCTGAACGTATGGATATGTGGTTGGTTGGCTGGGTACCAGGGATTTTGCTGATACATTCGATTCTTCACACGGTGATCGCTGTGACAACGATAATAGGCAGTGGGCAGCTTCATGATCCGGCAATTTTGCGTCCTCATTATCTACGAATAAACATATGCGTGGATTATTTAATGAATCCGAACGGAATGAATTATTTTATCGTAAATATTTTGATAAAATGAAAGAATGAATTAACTAACAATCATTTGTTGATGTGCTTATCACGAATAAAGATTAAATCTGGTCTATGTGAATGAGGCTATCCAAATTTTTTTTTTAATTTTTCAAATTGTGTGTTTTTTCATTCTTAAAAAAAAAAGCAATGAATATAAATGTCTAGTTTACCACTGCTTTCCATATCAATTTCTAAGTCATCTCCATCTCCATCTCCGTCAGAGTAGTCGTCTGATATAGTATCGCAGTCGTCGTTTGTTTGTGAAAGATTGCGTCCGTGTGAGGCATTTGCTGGGCGATCTTCTTCCGAGTTGACATCGTCATCGATTGGTATTTGTGGATTGATGCCTTTCTCAAGGCATTTTTTGTAGTGAGCCTTCGATTCCATGTGTTTGGTGAGATTACCTTTCGTTTTGAAGCTATTTTTTTTCGGTTTTGTTTTAAAATGATACATTTTTAATTTTGATCACAGAAAAATCAATTTTTTTTTTCAAATAAAAATTATCCTTTAAATTATACGTTACCTAAACATACAGTGGCGACATGTGTATGGTCGAACGTCGCTATGCACGGTTCGAATGTGTTTCTTCAGTGTGCATGGTTTAATGCATCGCATTCCACATTCAATGCAAACGTATCGTCCTCTGCCACGGCCACGTACATACGTATAGTCTTCGTTGCTTTTATATCCACCAGGCACCGTTGATAAATTAACTCCGCTCGTCTTAGGTAATGTTTCATTCAACACTTTCGTTTTATCCGACAGATCACTTGAAGCGTCTTCAGTGCGTTGTCGAATGGTATCGTTTGTATCGAATACCTTAAGCGGGTCGTGTATTTTATCTGACGGTGCACAAGTCGTAGTCGTTTTACTTGACATTGTGAATTTGCTGCCTTGATAGTTGGTGTGTGATCTTTGTCTGGAATCGTACAGTGACATCATTTCTTTCGGCGAAAATCCAAGTGGATGTGGATTATTTTCAGCGCATGTTTGCCAATTGCTGTACATGGATAATTCGGGTCGACCGGCGAACAAAGCATAAACGGGTTGTGGCCGATTCACCGTACAGTAAAATGGTTTGGTGCTACATTTCAATCCAAGGTATGTGTACGCATGACCATTTAAATAGAGTTGAACGCAATGCTTCGATGGTCTTGGTGTTTCCGGTGAAATAAGTGGTAATGTATTTGCGGTTGGTGTGATTCCATGGTGTTTTTTCGGTGTAAATGTGCCCGGTTTCAGTGGTAAACTGCTTGGGCGTAAAAATTTCGTTGTCAGATGCTTTGTGAGAAGTGTGTTACCCTTGTCCGAATCAACAACAGTCGGTGGCACTTTGATTTTCTCGGGCGTTGTTTCATGAACATTTCGTAGATTCGGTGGAGACGCATCGTTTGGCGTTGATTCAACATTTATGTGCAACGGCGATACGTCTGCCATCTGAGCCAATAGTTTCGGTCTCGGTTTTAATTTCTCTAAATTCGTTGCACTCACCTCTAAATTGCCTTGTGCTACTTTGCTACTGCTTTCGATGCGAATTTTCGGCGGACTTAAATTGTCGGCGATTCGCATGAAATTGAACGGTTTTTCACTAATCATTTGATTTCCGTCGCGACTTGGTGTCGTCGATGTCCATGCATGATGCTGTTGCTGCTGCTGCACTGCGCTCAGACTATGTGGATGATTTGCACTTGATGATGAGCTGTCGTTGATTTCGGAAGACGATTGTGATTTTATAGTTGATAGAGCCTTTGACGGTGGTGGTTCAGGAGATTTTGATAATTTGGCTGCATGCACAGCTGATGCTGATGGACTCACTACGGCCGATGAAATCGACAGATTGATCGATCTATACGGTGTTGTACCGAGTGAAATATTGCCAGCAAAAAGACCAGCTGGATTTGGGCTAAAAATTCGTTCTGAGCCTTTTTCATGTGGTATCGACGAAATAATCGGCGACATCGGAGCATTTGCAGATAATGAGTTTGGCCCAGGGATTCCGGGTACAAATGGAATGATTTTCCCTAAAAATACAAAAGAAAAAACAAATCCAAAATGAATCTAATTGTGAAGTCATTTCAAATTTTCAATGTCACATTTACCTCCGTGAACAATTTTTGTTGCTTCAATGGCCGCTGGAATATCCGAATTGAATTCGGGCTGTTTCGGTGGTAGCGTCAACGGATTGTACGCGGTAATTGAATTGATTGGTGGCGGTGGAAATTGGAAGTAATTCGCAATCATGTTCTGACTATTACTCAGGCGTGACATTGGAAGAATTGGTGTGACATTTGCTGGACTGGCTGGCACATTAGATGTTGTGGTGCTGCTGGGTTTTCGTTTGGCCGAAATCGGTGATTCGATGATCGAACCGCCAGATAAAAGCCCGGTTCGAATGCTAAGCGGACTGTTTTCGGGCAGTGATTCGGGTGATGACGATGAAATTGATACAATTGAACCGCCCGACGATCCAAAACGTGGCACTTTTTCTTCGGTCTTTTCGACTATTGTAATTTCACCGCCGCACATTTGCAACATTTTCTGCGTTCGCGATGTGAATGCTTCATCAAGGTTTATCGGTGTTATAGGTGGCTCCTTTGATGGTGTCGTTTTGTTTGAGTCAACTAGTGATATGGCTGCTTCCGTTGGAACAACCAAAAACTCAATGGTTTTTTGTTTGCTCATGGCGGTTCGCGGTTGATTGTAGTGATCGACAAGCCGTGTTTTGCCCAGCAATGGGCCGGGCGACGGCAACGAAGCATCCATCAATTGTTTGGTTATTTGTACACATTGTGATGACACCGATTGCGCTTCGGTCGCTACCACATTGGCAAACGATGACGGTGAGGCTAAACTATTACTGGCACTTTTGAATTGTTCCGCTCCAGTGCGGCTGCTCGATGCACCACCACTGCCACCGGCTGAATAGTTGGCAGCCGATGCATCTGGCGGTACTTTACCCAATAAACCAGCTGCTTGTTGAGCTGCCAATTTTGCTAACGACAACGGTGTTCGATGATGCCGCAAACTGGAACTGGCTAATTTGGCTAGAGTGTTTGGACTATACTTCTCCTGGCGATACAAATTGAACGAATTCGATCGAAAGTATTTGTGCGATGGCGATCCAACCGGACTGATTGGTGCACTCTGTGGGCTACCATTGGCTTGTGTTGGCACTTGAGGTGTTCCTTGACAGTAGCATTTTGTGTGATTCTGCAGATCATCGGCACTTCGAAAGGAAATATTACACAGTGGGCAGATATATTCACCGGCCGTTGGCACAGCCAAACCACGCGAATTCAATAACAACGATTTGATTATGGATCGCTCCGGATTTTGTGGATGATGATTTTCAAAGAATGGACCGCCACACTGTGCAGCCGCATTCGATTCGGAGAGATTTGATGTCGATGGCACCGGGCTGCCTGAATGCATCGATTCATTTCCGGTGGACTTTTTTCGTTGTGACTCTCGTGCCGAATTGGTTAGGTTCAATGGTTGAGCATCGGATGACAAGTTGAGCGCGGTATAGGTTTTCGTTGCAGTCGATGATGGGTGGGATTTTTTGAGCAAAGATGACAAGGCTTGCTGCTGAAGTGTCGGAAATGGTTTCTGTTTCAATTGAACCTCCATTGAGGTGGTTTCGTGTGGGCCCACTTTGATCAATAGTTCATCGGGATTTTGTTTGATTGATGACAATGCCGATGTTTGCAGCAATTGCATGTCAGCCATACTATTTCCACTTGGATTGCCGCCACGAGGTATTCCGGTTATTTTATGGTATTTCTTCTGCAGTGCCGGCTCAACGCCTTCCATAATCGCCTCATTTTGTGATATGATTTTCGAAATGTGTTCTTTCAAATACTCTACGCTTTGCGTTGACTGCAAACAGGAAAAAAGGGTTTCATTTTAGCGAGTTGAACATAAAAAAAGTCTTATTGTCGACGAATTAAGACTGCATATTGTTTGCATTTGAAAAAGTAATGATGAACATTTCTTACCAGATGTGATATCGAATTTTCATTAATCGCTTCGCCGTGCTTGGTTTTTCCCACAGTTTTGGCATTTAAATCATTACTCTGTGATATGGAATTGGTATTAATGTTATTGTTGTTGTTCTGATAATAAACGGCTTTATGAAATTTCGGTTTGTACGGTCGATCGGGCGCTGACAACGATGCGATTGAGTGTGCCGTCGATTGCCCTTGGCCAGACGATGAGTAATTTAGCGCTGAATGTGGCACAGATGAACTACTCTGCGTTTCTTCCAGTGGTGTTGTCGATCGGCTTATCTACGATTGTGATAACAATTAGAATTTGAACAAAGTAACCGGGAATTTATCAATGAAATTCTACGTCGTTTCATTTTGATTTCAGTTGAATACAACAACAGTAATCAAAATGTCTTTTATGTTTTTATCAACGACTTACAACATCGGAACTGGCAGTTGTGCTGCTGCTACTCAATTCGAGATCAGAACTAGTGCTTTGTGATATGTCGAGATCTACGTCTTCGTTTGGCAGCTGAGCGTTATTGTTTGCACTTTTGTCCCCATGACCAGTGGATCTGAAATAAGTTAACATATACATGAGAATGCTGGGCACAAACACACTTGAAGTAAGAAGAAAGAAAAAAAAGAGAATACAACGCACCTGCCATATTTGTGGTACTGGCTTCGGCGATATGATTTATCGTTATTTCTCCGTCGAACGGATGATTTATTCGCCGTGTTGGCACTACTACTTTCGCAACTGGCATTCGGTATGCGTTCGGTGAGTTCATGGGTGACAAATTGTCGACTCTTGATTAAATTTTCTTTTGAATTTTGTGGCACATCACCGGCCGACACTAGATTCACCTTGCTTCCAATGTCATCCAGCAGCAAATCGAATCCATAGTGCTTGTTTGTCTTTTGTTGTTGTAACTGTGATACCGTCAATAGCCTAGTTGAAATATCATTTTTGCATTTACTTAAATTATTTATCAAATCCGTTTCGTATTGTTTGTGTGGCGCATAAATTTTGTTGCTTAATTCATTTCGCAGCACATTGTTGCCGAATTTCGCTGAAGCATTTATGAGCTGCATTTCTGGGTTGGATTCGTTGCCGATTCTGTGATTCCGTCCATGCAATAACTGTCGACTGATTTTTGTGGAGACTGTTGCTGCTGCTGCTGCTGCAGTGGCGACATCATCTTGACTATTTGTTTCACATTCATTGATATGCGATGATCGCACAACAGTAGCCGACGCCGATCCCAACGCTTCATTCACCGTTTTCGTCGCAATCGTTGTTTCACCATTCAAATTGTGTGGCAACGCCAAGGTTGCATCATATTTCAACGATGAACCTTCCGTCGATAATAAATTGGCATTTGCTGCATTCGCTTTGATTTTATCGCAATGCTCTTCGATGATTGCGCTTGCGACGCGTTTGAATTTTTTGTGTAAATATTTTAAACTATTCGAATTGTTGAATATATCTGGAGGACTTGATTCCTTGTGTGTAGTAGCTTTTTGGCACTCAACATTCGTATGGCTATCGTTTGTGGAAACGGCCGTTGACGACCTGCTCGCATCACTCATATCACTAGCTAATATTTTCCGGTTGTGAGTTTCGTTCTGCTTTTGACGACCTCTCCATCCTTGATCTGAATCATCTGAAAATGAGAATGATTTGTTGAATTCGGTGGTGTGCTTGCTTTTATCTTATGTTTGATACTATGGCATTTATTACAAGCATCGAATGAGTGTTTACAATTTTGGGAAAGCCCTTTGGCCATTAAGAGTTTGCTCGCAGTTTACAAAGAATTTGTGCGAAACTTCGGAGAAGAGATTGAACACATACACAGCCTTGAAAAGGGCTAAAAGTACTAATGCATCCGACTTTTGCTCTCTTTGATACGTACGTAAACGATTTATTTGCTAAAGCAATTGATCTTCAAGTGGCATTAGAAATTCGTTTGCATTCGATTCGAGAGCATATCGACGAGCTGGAGTCGATGAGCTCTCCAAATACATGACATGGGATGTGTGTTGGATTTATGATGAAGAAGAATTTCGTTGCATTTTGAACACATTACTTGTACCTTGAAATGAATTCTACTCTCAAGCAATGCTATCGTTTTGCACGTTGTGTTTCTGATATATATTTTTTTCTCTTTCTTTCTTCGTATTCGCTTCGAATTTTTATCATTTAATATTTATCTGTTGCTTGTTCGCACTTCATCTCGTCCGTAAGCATATTCGATTCTATTCTCGGGCCGTCTGAAGAGTGAAATTACATGATGTTCTGTGCTTTTTCCTGAGGCTGTCGAATATAGTGTTTATAAATGGTTCGCTCGAATTGTTGGATGGTTGTCAGCCCGAAAACAAGCATCATACAACAGCAATGATGATGATGATGATGATGATGTTCACGCAAGGCTTCTCCTGATTTTTCTGCGCGCTCTTCTTCTGCTGTGTATTATTGCATTGCTCTTCTTATCTTGTTTTCATATCACTTTCCTCGCGTCAAGTTGGCGCCACGCAAACTACAAGTGTGTGCGTCTTTCTGTCTTTCTTCTTCTCGCTGTTTCTCTTGCGCTTGCTCTCGCTCACACGCTGTGTGCGTGTGTGTGTGTCTATGTGTTTGTTGTGCATCTGTATGCATCGCACACAGTACACTTAAACAAGCACCCAGCCTCGTAAAGCAACACAACATATTTAGAATAGTTCTCGATGTTTTTCCATTCCATTTTCTAGACGTTTAGACACTTGGACTCTCTCTTTTATTTTCCGCTCTCTGTGTGCTTCTTTCTCCCTGCGTGTCTGTGTATTAAACCTATTGTAATTACAGAGCGTTCAAAGATCGCCGTGTGTCATTTTCGTTTGAAGTGTATGTTTCAAAATGCAAATTATACCAAGGACCCCGGCCCATTAGTTGGAAATTTTCATTACACAATGGAGATTTGCTAAGAAATACGAATCTCCATTTTCTTTCATGATTCTTCTCTCTTTTCGTACATTCGAAGACGGCTTGGCTTTGGCTACAGCATGATGTGCCACAGCCAAAGTAGGAACAACAAAGTTGTTGAAAATGAGCGTCAAAAAACCCAATCTAAAACCGAAATCGCTCTCTCTCTCTCTCTCTCTCTCTCTCTTTTCCTTTCTATCCTTACCATAGGTACTCATTCAATCACTTCAAAGAAGCAATGCGAAGCCGATTAAATGCCATCGTATTTATGCTACTCTTGAACGTCAATAAATTGAAGAAGAAAATGAAAAGAAATTACTTGATTTAGACGCTCCTTTTCGCCTTGCCATCCTTATAAGTATGGATCCGCTCGAAGTGTTGTTTCGTGACAGTCATATAAAAACGTAATTTTCTGATGTGACTACGATCGACGGTTAAATAGCCCAAAATCGGGCGATGTTTACAAGAAGAAATTGTTTTCTCTGGTTGTGTACCTGCAAAAAATGTATAAAGAACAAAAACAGTTAAGCCCAATTTCATTGTTATGTTTCGTTTGTGTATTTTTGTTGAATTTGTTGATCATAAAACGCAAGCATGTAAGTCGTTGTATCTTAAACAAGAAAAGAAAAAAACAAAGTCAAAGTACCAAAACAAGTGCTTTGAATGGCATTTATTGTGTATGGTTTATGCTCTTCTTATTGGCCATAAAATAAAACCTCTAAAAAAGGCGACACCGAAAGGGAAGATGAATGAAAAAAGAAGAAGAGATGTTTATTAAAGTGTGGCAAAAAGTCCGGTTTCCGACCTTTCTCACAGCATTCACACTCTAATGGGAGAATCCCCGATTGCCGGTGCGATATATCAAGTGACTATAAGCGCGAGCGCGCTTGCTTACTCATCGGAAAACGGTGTTTGCTCGTCTTTTTTTCCCTTCTTCTTCTTCTTCTTCTTTATTTCGATTTCGAAGTGTATCACAAGAATTAAAAATATACGTAAACAAAACATAACACAATACGACACACACATTTGTAGAAATACATGTATCAGGTGGGATATTTTGGACAACGGCGACGATGACGACAACGATCAAACAAGAAGAAAAGAATGAAAAAACGTTACGATTTAATCAGGCAGAGAAACAGGCGAAAATCGCGCAATTAGAAAGAATGCACGATTTTACTTGAGGAATCACGCATTTCGATTCGCTTATTATATATGCACACTAAAAATAAAACATTTTCACCGTGTATTTCGAATAGAACGCAACGATACACAAAAACGAAAAGAACTACAACGAGAAAAAAGCGAATCTGGTGAATTCACTAGCCGAAGGATTAGCTAAGCGTCTTCTTTTATTTGGTTTCATTAAAAAAATCACCGTTTTTTGATTCATCAGTTTACAAAAATAGCTTTGATATGTGTGTGAAATGTCAACTCGATTCAATTCAATCATTTGACCAATACAACAACAACAGTAGCAGCAGCACAAAAAAAACACCGAAAGAACGAACGAACAAACATGAACGAAAAAAAAAAATAGCAAAATAATCAGCTAGATAAAGCAACTGACAACCCAAAACGAATCAATTGAAACTTGACTTGATGAAATTGCAATGAAAAGAAGAAAAAAAAACGACGTTTTCAAATCTAATTTGGTGGCACTTCATTGGATGTTTTGGTTGGTTGGCTGCTTGATTGGTCGGTACGAAACAAAATTTATTAAACGCGATAAAGGCGATTGTGAATCGACAGTTTGTGATCACACACAATTTTTCATTCTACAATTTTCGTCGTTGTCGTCGTTATTCAGTCGTTTCATATTATTTATTTATTTTTTTTTCTTTCGTGTGTTATTTCATAAAGTAATTTACTTAGCAATCAATTTTGTGATAAAACGTTATGTAGTTGTAAAGAGTAAAACGGTCTACATATATATATATATATATATTAATATGTATATATATAACGATCACTACATGTTAATAAACAATGGTATTTTGCGTGTGGAATGAATAATGCTGAATAATACGGACACATGAATGTGTATGCATTCTGCGCTCTACTCCGAGTCCGATTTATTTATAACACATGTTTATGTATTTATGAAATCGTTACACTTGCAAATGATCCGTAAGTCATCGTCGTCGTTTGTTGCTGCTGTTGGTGTCGTGTGGAAGCGCAATAGTAAAAAAAAAATACACAAGAGATTCACAATGAAAATTTGTTGAACAGATTATGTATTGAGGGAGCAACAGGAAGATAGAACGAGATAGAGACGGCAGCCACATTTGTTGATACCAAAATACACACACTCTCTTCGTACAACCGAATAATTATGTTCAAATTCACTTCCGAAAAATTCACTTTTAATATGTTCGTCGTCGTCGTCTTCGTTTTCTTCGTTTCATTTGATTTAACAAACTTGAAATGATTTGAATGTGAATCAGTTTTCGTGTGTTGATTTTGGGCTGAATTTTTAAGGCAACCCAGAGAGTGGATTATGGTTTGTTGTTGTTTTGTAGACGAAAGACGAAAGAAACAACAACAACAACAACAAGCTGTAGCCATGTAGTTCGCTTAAAGATTATTTATACAAGAGCATTTTTTCGCGTGTGTATACAGTCAATGAATTTTGCGTGTGTTGAAGAATGCACGTAAGCTTCGTTAAGGTGGACCTGCACCATCGCATTGCATCACTTTATTGTTCGGCTGTGCCTTTGCTTTGCTTCACTTTCTAAAACGATTGGTTTTATTTATATTGGTGCCGTTTTTAGTGGCCGACGCCATCGAATGCACTGCCAAATTTGGAGTTTTGAATTTAAAAAAAAAAATCAGTCTGACCAATTGCAGTTTGTGTCTGTGTCTGTGTGAATGTACACTGTGTGTCTGGTTGACTTTGCATACAATTTTTTTTTTCTCTCCAAGAGACAGCTCATCAACCGGAGGCTTTGCCATTCAATTGATCACACATTTGTGTCGACCCATTTGCTTTGTTCAACACACAACCTTTTTATCAGTCAGCTGTTGTTGATTTTCTCATGTTTTTTTTTCCCTTGCTACATCTTCTTCTAGAAAACTGTACAAATTTCAGGATCCATTCGTCGGATGATCAGTCGATTGTCTAGTTTTTTGAATTCGAAAATTTTCCGACACATGTAAAGTTCTCTCTCTTTCTCCCTCTCGCTGTCGGTTGATGCTTTGTTTTTGTACTTAGGACATGCTATCGTCTGCCGCTTATTTAATCACATGAAATTGTTTGTCGTGTATATTGTGTGTTGTGCGACACCGAGAATATTTTAAGCATTTGAAACAGACAAAAAGTCAGACATATTTACTTGTTGCCCAGCACACTACTATTATGATGATGACAGAGGCATTCGCATTCACATTCGTATTCGCACTGGCTCACTCACACTCACTAACACCAACACTAGCGCACATGCATTGCGGCGCCGTCTGTTCTTTGTTCAGGCCACCTTAATCACTACACAGTGAGGGCGAACGAGAAAGAGATAGAGAGAAAGAAAGAGCAACACACTACTTGGGCACCGACAACGACAACAGCAACAGCAACAGTGGCGGCGACAACGACAACGGCGACAACGGCGACAACGGCGACGACGACGACGACGACGATGTGCACATATTTTATATAGATATAAAAATCAGACGTAGAGACTTCTGCCTTCTCTATCAGCCACGTTATTTTATTTACCTTCACCTCTCACCGTTCCTTTCTCTGCACTCTTATATTTATGTACTCTCTGCTTCTTCGTTTTTATCTATATAGAAAATGATTAGCTCGCTCTCTGTCTCTTTATTACACCGTGTGTCGTCGTGTGTTTTTGTTTGTATATGTCGTCAAAAAAAAACGTAGTACAATTCTATATGTTTTTCTTCATATTGGCGATACACAAACGTAAAATTTCAATTCAAATCTATATTTAAAAAAATTGGCCATTTTTTCCTGCCATTTTCGACACATTTGATTGGTCAAATGCATCCGTTTTTCGCACATACTTTTTTTTTTTGGTTATTTTTCTGCTGCATACTACATTTTTCTCTATACGCGTACAAACCGAACCGAATCGAATCCAGTATACACCATCTCTAAATATGAGTATCGACAACGACGACGACGATGACTACGACGAGAGATCTCTTTTGGCGTTTCGAACGACTGGGCAAAAAAAAAACAGAGTACACAGCAGGCAAATCGAACCAGAATCACACGAACTTCTTTTTTTCCCTTTGATTCGAACACACAAATTATTTATTATATGTATGTTCACTTTTCACTGCCACACTTGAGATGAGATGACGATGTCATGACGGATTGATTTGATTTTTTGAATATTTTGTACACACATATTGTCTGTTGCGTCAGTAAAATTCAGTGTTTTTTTTTGTTATTTCTTCTTTCATTCGTTTCCAACACAGACCATTGAACGAACTACTAAATTTACTCGTAACGTCATAACAACGCGTAACGAAAACATTCAAGGAAATACACACTTATTGATAATTAAGAGTTACTCTATTACGATTATATATAGAGAGAGAGATATATATGTATGTATAAAATGATTGGACACCATCTCTCTGTTCGCTGCGTTCACTATCATCAAATCGTCTCTATGGTCAATCAAACGAACGAACGAACGAACAAACGTACCGAACGAACGAATGATCGCAAAATTAAAAATCGAAAAGTAATAGTAGTAAATATGTACGTGATGATAAAGAAACCGACGATTTGTTTTTTTTCTTTTTGAATATCGTTTTAAATGATCAACAGCAGAATAAAAACACAGAAACGGAACAGAAATATAAAAATAAAAAAATAAAAACAAAAAAATAAAACTGTTTTTCTATACTGTGTGCAGTGTGTAAAAATGTACAATGTATAGGCAAAAGCGAAAAAACAAAAACTACAAAAAGGAAAATGAATTATGTGAACATTGTCGAAGAACAGTCGCCGTTCAACTTAAACACTTAGACAAAAGTTGAAGCTGGGAAACACCACCTTACATGTATACAGCAGACATTCTTCACCAATACACCGACCGCAACGGGCCCAATCCACATAAAATAAGCTAAGCATATTTCTTGTGTTCGTCGCCGTTCGCTTGTAGCTGTTGTTTTTGTTGTTGTCGCTGTCGTCGTCGTCGTCGTCGTCGTTGTCGCCGCCTCTGCCGTAGTCATAGTCATCGTCGTCATTTTCCTTTTTCTCTTTTTATTTTGTTTCTACGCTCTTTTCCTGTTTACTGTGAGAACGTATGCCGTACTCTCGCACACATACCAGAGGACGACTAACACCGACCGACCGACCGAACGAAACGAAACGAACGAAACGACCGATGTATGTAACGATATTTATGTGCCAAGTCTCTTTTTTCGAATCAGTCTATGGGTCTCTCATTCGCGTACACATGCATTGCGATTCAAAATTGACAATTCAACACACTCGATTTTACGTCGAAATCATACACTCAATCGCCGCATCGTCTCCTCTCCTCTGGCTCTCTTTCGTGCTATCTCGTTTTCACTCGTTTTGGGTTGCTCTCTGTGTGTGCACGGTGTACACACATCCGCACACACATATTTCTGTTCGTGGTGCCGAACTACCGCACCGTGCTACGAATGTTTGTACTAATAATAACGTACCGATTATTACATATTTACATATATGAACGAAAAAAAGACTTGTTATCATATTTAATTCGACAGAGAGTCCCAATACACTCTGACGAAAATGCTTGCCATTTTTTGCTGCTGCTGCTGTTGATATTGTTGTTGTTCGTTCGCCTTGCTTTCGGTGTGTTGCTCTGAGGTTTGTTTTTCTGTTTTGATGAGAAACGACCGTTTTGTTGACGACAGCGAGTTTTGCTCCATCTATTCCATTTTTCTTTAAGGAAAAACACTGTTTGGAAGCCTTCCATTAAACGCCAGAGCAAAAAAAAAAGGGCATGATACATTATCAATGGTCAAATGCGACTTATTGTCCATATCATTCATCATTGAAGATTTCATGTGCATGTGAAGCACAAAGCAAGAAAAACTCAATAAATAAATGAATAATGATATTCTTTTTTCCTCTTCTTTTTTTCGGTATGAGTGTGTATGTCGTTTCGCATCGATTGGTATGGATTCATATTTGCGAATGGAACAAAAATGCGAGAGTGCAAAGGAGAGAGAAAAAAAGAATAATAAACAAGTTTGAAAACATGTGTTTTCATTACTCATCGCACAATCCCATACTCACATAAGCGCTCGAACAGCGCAATTCTGCGAATGACAGATCGCTCAAATGCCCCATTCATAACATTGTTGATTGCTGTTGTTCGCGTTTAGCGAGTTAGTTCAGCTGGCTTCCACCAGAGTCAATCGGTACCCCGATTTATTTATTTTCTCTCTCTCTCTCTCTCTCTCTCTCTCATTGTTCACTTCTCGTTCATATCGTTTTGCGGTGTGTTTTGTTGTTTGTTTTTATCCAAAATAACAATTGAAAACGTCATTCTACGTTTTTCATTCGACAACATTTGAAATCGCGGTTCGTGATCAAAGACACGGGTCGAATGAGCGAGTGAGAAAGAGAGAGAGAGATAGAGAGAGAGAGAGAGAGAGAGAGAGAGAGAGAGAGAGAGAGAGAGAAAAGCAAAACTACGTCAAGTTGAAAACAATTAAATGAATGAATTGAACAATTTACAATGAACGAAATTGGAATCGGAATTGAAATACTCGAAATAACACAGAAAACCATATAAAAAGCGTGATAAAAATTTCATGACAACCGGTACGCTTGGTTTTGACAGTTCACATCCACTTGAGTGTATTCTCTCCATTGTCAAAATTGAATCGCTTGTTGTTTGCTTCGTGCGTTTCATGTGAGCACTTGTCAAATTTATTGTATATTTGTTTTATTGCAACACACGATTCGAGCGTTTTTGGTTGTGAGATTATTATTCTTTTTTTCTCTCTTCTGGTATTATTGTTGTTCGAATGAACTAAAAAACTGTAGAAAGAGAAAAAAGACAAAACGAACTTGGCTGTCAAAACCCGAATACAAGTTAAATTGAAACGTTGAGAATGGTGGACAATGTGCAGCATATCATTTTGGTGAAATCAGTAAAAGGCGGCGTTGGAAAATCAACTGTAAGCACACAGTTGGCCTTATCACTATGGGAATCCGGCTTGCGGGTTAGTTTCTTACTCACTTCCTTTTTCTTTTTTTTTTGCTATTAATTGTTTTTGCACGCAGTACTACCAAGAAATGACCACAAATTTATCGTGAATTTGAGAAGTTGAAATGATTAAATAGCAACAAAATAATCGTGTGTATCGTATTTTTTAGGTCGGTATTTTGGATACAGATATTTGCGGTCCCAGCATTCCATACTTACTGAATGTGGAAAATAACAGCGGTACGGAAACAACTTTGTTAGTCACATATCATTATCAGACACTTTTGAAATGAAACAATATCTACAACAGCAACAAAATGCTCTGACTTTAAATCATTTTTGTTTCATTTTCTATCATATTTTCATGTTTTATTATTCATATTTCTGTTGTCTCACACACACAGTGTATCAGAGTGAGTCCGGAAAATGGGTGCCGATTTTTAAAGGCGATGACAAGCGTCTGGCCATCATGTCCATTGGATTCCTATTGAATTCCAGAGATGATCCAATCATTTGGCGTGGCCCTAAGAAAACATCAATGATTCGACAATTCATTAACGACATTGAATGGGGCGATTTGGATTATTTAATTGTTGATACACCGCCCGGTACATCTGACGAGCATATCACCATCATGGAATGCATGAATGAAATCACCGGTAAATGTGACGGTGCCGTGATTGTGACCACACCACAGGAAGTTTCACTCGAAGATGTACGCAAAGAGATTACATTCTGTAAAAAGACCAAAATCCAAATTCTCGGTATCATTGAGAATATGAACGGGTTCACCTGTCCAAATTGCTCCGAATGCACACCGATCTTTTCATCTGATGGTGAGTTCAAATTCGCGCGCACAATCTACAATAGAACATATTCCTTTTGAGAACAAAATCAATTGATTTTCTTTTCGTTCAAACAGGTGGAAAAGCACTGGCCAGTTATGCAAATATCCCAATTTGGGGCACACTTCCGATTGATCCACGTGTAGGTACATTGTCTAGGAATACACAATCAGTGCTGAGCGGATTATCAAATTCAACATTTGCTGACGTTTTCAATGACATAGTCAAGAATAAAATAATCAAATCGTAATTTATGTTCAGAACAACGTCGTTATCATTACCAAAAGATAAAGCCACAAATGAATTGAATTTTTTGTTCTTTTTTTTATTAAGTATACACGATGATTTTGATGAAAGATGAACAAAAGATTGGTTCTTATAAAGAAGAAAGAAAAAAAGTGAACGCGATTTTAAACGAAAAAAGTGTTTTGAGTTGGGCTGCATTTATTCGGTCTTTGTATTGGCTGCGTCCTTGATTTTTCGTCTCCATTGGATCCATTCGTCGCTGCCAGGCACATTTGATGTTTCGACCAATTGATAATAGGCCTCTCGGATGATTTTCAGTGCTTGTACATTTCGATATGGAAGCTTTGTGAGTGGATCAATATATTTGGCTGGAAGTTTGGTGAGCGGACAAATCAAATCGGTTTTTCGCTTTGCACTCGGCTTATTGAAAATCTTTTTGAAAAATTCATCGTTCAGATCATTTTCAAATGTAACAAATGTTCGTTCGACACGTTTGTCCGATGTTAGGAATTCATTATTTGATGATTTGCTGCTGTCATTTTTAGTGGTGGTCGGTTCAATTTCCATATCAATATCCATACCATTCATATTGGTTATGCTGCTTGAGTTACGTTTCTTTTGCTGTGCTAATGCCGACTTGGCGGCTTCAATAGCCGGCATACTCAAGGAATGATATCGTATTATTGGACCGGGATTAATACGTTTCGTTGGTCGCACTTTTTTCTTTTCGATTTCCATTTTCTTAAATCGTTCAAGTGACTCTAGATTTTCTTTTGCTGTTGTTTCGGCTTCGGCTAGTAATTCTTTCTGCGTTGGCATTACATCAACGATGCGATATGATTTTACACGTTTTCGCATCGCTTCTTTACGCTCTTTGACCCTGTGCTGTGTGGCGGCTGATTTTAAAGCAGTTGAATGTCTCAAGGAAATTTTACCGGAATCCAAAACGGTGAACGACGACCGGTGCATACGTTTTGATTTGAGTCGTTTTGTGGCAGCTGGTTTTTTATTTGCTTTTACCGCCGTCGATGCAGCCGGTTGCAATCTTGGACGACCAACCTGCCCTTTTTTCGGTGCTTTCAGATCTTTGTACACCTTTAGCGATGATTGTTTTGCTCGTCGCTCCGGCACTTCTTCCGTATCCGAAATCAATTCGTCATTTTCGTCGATTGAAAAATCCGAATCGACTGAGTCATCATCATCGTCCTGCTGCTTAAGTTCTATGTAATCGTTGTCATCTTCAGTCTCGTGAAAGCCACCGTACAATGTTTTGTAAATTTCCTCTTCCTCCTCTTCATTCAGTAAATTACTTATCCGATTTCCAGCATTCGTTCGACGTTCACGGGTTGCCGCCATTTTGCTTTTATCGGCTAAATACAACACAATCAAACATTAGTTTGTTTATTAGCATGTTGAATTGAAATTCACAATCAAATTGAGGCATATTGAATACGCTCAAACTTTTATCATACACAATTTTTTTTACTTACCTCGTTGAATTTTATTTTGGAAAAAGTGTTAAAAATATTGTTTTGTTTCTCTCGGCTGTCTCTCTCGAATGCACTGGGTGTTGGATAGTTAACTGAATGTCGACAATGACAGCGGCTGTCACTTGGTCGATTTGTTTTGTCGACACAGTGAGTGAAAGAGAGCGAGTATGTGAGAATGATATGAGTTGCGCCATCTCTTGGTCTAAATGGCAAGGTGCCCGCAACAAACACACTCATTCAAATAATTTCAAAACTCATCCGATTCGAACGACATAGGTATTGGCAAGAGGGAAGCAATGCAAGTAAATCAAGAGAAACAAAAATAATGAGAAATTCCAGGTTTATACGCTTTTTTTATTTGAATTTGGTGCACATTTTCGAAATTAGCACATTTTACCGGTGTTAGGTATATGTATATTCATTTCAAGTCGAAAGTTTTTCTTTCGCAAGTGAAACTCCTTTTAGTCGTTCCGCTTATGTACTTCAATCAAGTGGTTGTTAACAAGTCGAAAACTTACAGAAAGTTTCACCTTAAGTTCGTGTAATTTCAGTGGTGTACTGAGGCGGTAATTGCGAAGAATGTGAGCAGCGACCAGTTTCATTGTGTAAATTGCATAGCTGTAGCCTGTTCAATGAATGGATTTGAGGTAAAATGAAGGGAAGAAAGAAAGAAAGCAAAAAAAGTGGTGCGGTTTACTTTTCTCTTAAACTAATAGATAAAATACGGAAGAATACACAAAATGAAAAGACGCATTTACCGATACAATTTCGAGGACCTAGAGAGAATGGCAAGTACATTCCTTGTTGATCTTTGTTGGGATGATGTTCGTTTGGCTTGAATCGGTTTGGGTCGTACAGATGGGCCGTGGGTCCGTAGTACTCTTCGTTACGATGAATTTGACGAATACCAATGAAAATTGGTATATTCGGTGGAATTTCGTATCCTTTCAGATTGATGGGTTCATTGGTTGCGGTTCGTCCAATCAAGGGCACAGTTGGGAATAAGCGTTGCTGAAATTCAATTCAATTAAATTAAATGTATAAACTCGAAACTAAGTTCAAACAATATCAGCCATTTGATCATTATGTTTGGCAAAATTGACTTTGTTTTGAATAAAATTCCATCATTTGTTCTCTTAGAAAGAACAAAATCTAAAGTAAACATTGATATTCATATATGTTTGATTGTCGTTCAAACAATGTACATTGACAGTTAGTAATGAATATTTGAATGACAACGACTTTTTTACGTTCATTTCCACACATACCGTTTCCCGCAGACACTGATCCAAATATACCATTTTATTAATATGGATTGGCGTTAGATCAACATCTGAATTAGGCATTATGTTCAAGAGCTCTTCATACACTTTCTCCTGACAATCTTGATGAATTGCCAACATCAGCAACAGCGTCGATATGGATACGGCTGTCGTATCACTCGCCTGTTATTTTGGAAGAGAAAAAAACAAAACACTACCGTAGAAAATAGGAGAAAAACAAGTGAAAAAGTGGAAGGAAAGAAATCGAAAAAAAAAAAATCGAATATTCCGTTTATTGCTTAATCTCAATTCATGAAATTTTCCGTCAACTCGGAATAATTCGGAAACTTACGCCGATTAAGAGAGTGTGAGCTTCGACTTTGATGTCTTGAAGCGTAAAGTTTTTGTTTTGCTGCGACACTGTAATCAGCTTATCGAGAAAGGTATTGCCGTCATTTCCATTTTCGAGTGACCGATTAATTATCTGAAATTATTCAAAAGCAAAATAAAATTTCGCCCGAAAAGCATTTCACTCCTTTTCAAAGTGCAATTCAACTGAACACTTTCGAAAACTAAGACAATACAATAACACTGGTAATTCGCAAAACACACTCAACGAAGCAGCATAATTGAACTGAGTGCGAACGCCGAGCATGTGTATGTTTCTGTGTGTATATGTCGATCTGAATGATTGCCTGACTAAACGGAAGCATGCAAAAGAGAGAGAACGAGAGAAAGAGTTCGCGACAGCGAACGTCTGAATGTGATAGAATGAAAGAGAGAGAGAGAGAGAGAATAGCATTACCCTGTCCATAACTTCGTCACTAAACTTTTGAAAGAACACAATTTTCTTTTGGTAGTTTGTGATTTTACGGAACCATTCAACTTGCAGCCACGGTCGAAACATCCGCTTTATTACCGCCGAAATTGCACTGTGAAAATTATTAAAAAGGATTTATGTACTTAATTAAAAATCGATATTTGATGTAAAAGCTTTAAGTCGATATTACAAAAGTTCGGGGAAAATGGTTCATTAAAATTGCGAGCGAATTGAGTGTATCGATAGTTAGTTAGGAGTAACGGCATTGCCAAATCGATTACGAATGATATGCGACAGGAGAAATCGAGTCTCTTGTCGTTTGGTATCAGCAGTAGCAAGCGAGAATGGATGGATTTTTATGAATTAGTGGATGGCAATGGAGAGTGAGAGTTGTCGAGAGATCCAAATTGGCTGCTGTCGTGGCATGCCATGCTTCATGTTGTGAGCCGTATCAAAGGCGAAAATGGGAAAATGAAAATGAACATGAACATGAACGTGAACATGAAAATGGAAAAGTTTTTCGTCAGCAATTTAAAATGGGGAGTTGTAACAAAAACATGAATTAAAAAAAAAAAAACAAGTAAAAAGGAATAAAAAACGTACTACGACAACGACGATAATAAAATACTTACTCACTGAAGAAGTTTGAGTATGCCGATTTCTGGTGCCATTCAATACCGAGCGTTGCATCCAGATACATTGAGAGCAGGCACACATTTAGTGGCAGCATCACATCAAACGCTTTTCCCTTTTTCGCCTCCTCACCAAGTGTTGTAGTGCAAAACTCGCGAATGTAAAAGTTAAAAATGGATAAATGACTGAAAACGGTCGAGTCTTTTAATTAAAAAAAAAAACGAGGTGAGAAGTAATAATTAATTAAAATAACAACAAATGTGTTTAATTAATAATAATTTTATGTAATTCAATTGAATATTTTTTTTCTTTTCATCCAAACCTTTTAATGATGGACTCATGAGCTTGCGATGCAGTTTCCAAGCTTCGCCTATACCATATTAACCGTAAATCCAAGAACATCGACACCAACGCCAATGCCAAAAAACAACAAGAAAAGGATTCAAGTGCATAAGACAGTAAAGGATGTTGCGAAAGAATTCGGTTTCGTTTTTTTCTTCTTCTTCATTAAATTATTTGTATATATTTTAAAAGGAATATTTACCGTTACTCGAGAAAAGGCCATCGCCTCCTAGTACATCCCTAATTGCTTCATATACGCTCGGTTTGCTCATCGTAGTTCGACCTTTCAATACTTGCTCCGCACACTCGGCATCATGTACAAAAATATATAAATTCGGGCCCATCCACACGCGAGCTGGCGATGGATACTTTCGACTAATTTCATCCAAATACTTTGAATTTTCTGTTTAGCAAAAAAAAAAACTTTCTGTAAGAATGAGAAGGAAGTGGAATAGGAAAGAAAAACATGAAGAAAAGACGAACAGCCACAAGAATAACAACAACTACAACAACGGCATCAGAACATAGCGAGCGAGCGAACGCACACACAATACAAAAAGTTTGATTGATTATTTGACAAACCTTCCTCATTCCACATGCCCAAGATATTTCCAATAATCGGTATATAAACGGGGGGTCCGGGCATTTTCCATGATAATATGTAGACATTGCGTCGAGTCCACATTAGATACAGCCATAAAATGGCCAACAGTATACATAAAATGAACATATTTTTATCCGTTTGATTTTACAGTTAACGGTTTTCTTTTCTGTTGCTCTTTTATTTTTCCTTCCCTTCACCATATACACACATACACATACACTCCGTCGACACAACCGACTAATTACACACGAAGAACGAAACAGCCTTGCACTGAGCTGCAATCGATTTTGATGTGTTCACTCCGATTAATTTTCCTCCGATGAAATGAAATCACACGCTTGGCGTTCATTGGCGATAATGCAAAAGCGTAATGCTTTGCCACATTGTTTAACCAATGCTTAAATATAGACTTTTCTAGAAAACGAGTTATCAATCGCACGTTTAGATTATTAGAAAGAAAATTTAGAGTGGCGTTTATTGCAACAAACGAAAATAAAAAGCACAAACACATACATACACACACACACACACAAACACCGAACAGGAAAACAAAGTGCAAAGGGATGTGGATGTTATCAAAGTGAACGGATTAAAATAGGTTAAGGCAAAATGCATTCATGTCTCTCGCTCTCTGTGTTCACGTTGAACTCATTTCAGAAAATATCGTCACATGCGAAGTAAATGAACACATCTCGTTTCGCATCTCACGATAGTAACGAAGCGTTTGCATAGCAGTAGCAGCAGTAGCAAAAAAAAGAGAATTTAGATAGAGACGAAAAGCTTTGAATGAACATTGAGCTACGGAGACGTTTGATTTAAAAAAGGCGCTCCAGAATCGGTCGGATTACGGGTAAAGGTCAAGATTAAATGCATATCATTGTTATCAAGGGATCTGATCTTCTTTTGCAATAATCAACTATTGTTTACAAATGGGATCGATTGTGGTTTTGTTGTTCATTCATTGACAACGATCGACGGGTTTCACGAAGAAAGAGAGAATCAATTCATTTATTCCCGTAAGCACATCCGATTAATTATTTGAAAAGGAGACACATTAAAAGCAACTGCTGCCTGTTTTAAGTTGTTGAATGTACAATCACTCTTGTTCACTCGTTCGCTTATTCTCCATTGCACACACGCAAATACACACACACACACACATTGGATTGGGGGGAGGGGGTGACTGCAATTTCGAGTGAGTGACAATAGAGTGCATGTATGCGTTGTTACGGCAGGACGAATGTTGATGGTTTCAGCTTTATTCATATGACTTTTATGCATTGTAGCTCCATACATGTTCCATGTGTATAAAGAGTGAATGAGCGCGGCATTGTGCACAAGATGAAGTGTATTTTTGAGAGCCTAATGAAACCGATTCCTTTTTGTTATCAAACGACGGCCAAAGAACATAATCTGTCGATTCTCCCCCACCTTCGCCACCTTCATACGTACGGTATACATTTCTCGATGTTATTTGTTCGATACAAACACGGAGAGAGACTTTGTTTGTGCAAATTCTGTGGCGCTCGTTTGTTACAACTGCCAAAATGATAACGTGGCCAATGCAAGCAGCATCAGCAGCATCAACAGCATCAGCAGTATCGACACAAATGAGCAAACAAAAATTTAAACAAAAAAAAACAGCACAACAAGCCTGTACAAATAAAGTGCATGAGGACATCGTGTAGTTCAAATGCCGTTGAGCCTCTTTTCTTCTCTCTCTGACACACACATACACACATTCAATGGCAGTGAATTATGATTAGTCAATTTGCATCTAATGCACCATCGTTTATGTGTTGTTTCAAGTGGTTTGCAGTATTTTTTTCTCATTCCTTTCTTCACCAGAGTTGACTCTTCAAAAGCCTCAAATTCTATCAGACCATACAGTCGACAATAGATTCTCATAATCTATTCATTGGTTCTGCTCTTGCTCTCTATCACTGTCTATCTCTAAGCGATTTTCTTTCTCTTGTTGTGTTTGTTTTTTCTTTCTTTTCCCGCAACAAACATCAATGGACGTTATTATTCGCATCGCAAACCGTCTCCACTCAGTGTGTGTGTGTGTAGCTGACTGCTGCAATTTTACGGGCTTACAAAAAATGTGATTGAATGTGTTTTCTTGTGCTCAGCAAAACCAACTAGTCGCCTGCAGAAAGTTTGTTTGCGTTTCGCTAAAATATACAAGCAAACACCGATTTTTGTCATGTTGTCTCCGTTACGATGAGCATCGAAATGAAGTGGATTCTGTATTGCCGGTGAGCCCTTTCTCTGAGAAGAAAACTTTTCTTTCTATCTCTCTCGCTCACTCTTGCTCTTACGGCTATGAAACACACACACACACAATCTCGTCGGTTAGTTGTAAAATGTGTTGACGTTTGATAGAGGCCACCACATATCATCTATCGACTAGCTCAAATGTCATGTCAAATATTTAAATAATATGTTGTACACACTTTCTAGTTTTATGTAAATATATTTTCGCCTCTCTCGTTAGACTTTAAAAAAATTTTCTAATTTTTTTCCGGTGTTTTTTCCATGTGAATTATACAGCAAATGTGACGTCTGTTCAAAAGTAGATGGACGCACATAAATGAGCGTCTTCCAGAGTTAATTTGTGGTGGTGTTTACAATACAAAAAGAAAATTGGGTTTTTGTTGTTGTTGATTATTTTCATTTTCATGATTCAAAATCATGTATCGTAGTCAGTTGTTTGTATTTGGCTCCAAGAGCATTGGATGGTTGTTGACGACAAAGATGACGACGGTATCAGGTAGCAATCGAAGTACCTATAATTTGCAGAAATTGCGCAAGTTTTCGACATCATCGTCCAATCCATTTGAACCGAAAATATGTGTGGTTGGAGCGGGGCCAGCCGGATTTTATGCATCACAGCACATTCTGAAAACATTATCCAGTGCACGAATCGATATCATCGAGAAATTACCCGTTCCATTTGGATTGGTTAGGCATGTAATTGCAATTGAATACGTATACATATACAGTGTACACAATATCCAGAGTACACACACCTGGTGGAAGAATTTTATGTTCATGTGTTCTCTCTGCTTTTTTTCTATTTTCTTCTCTTGATTTTTTTCTTTCTTTCTTTCTGTTTGTTTGTTTGTTTGTACAGATTTGGCGTTGCGCCCGATCATCCCGAAGTAAAAAATGTCATAAATACATTCACCAAAGTTGCGGAGAATTCACGTGTTCGCTTCATTGGGAATCTATCGTTGGGCAAAGATGTTTCGTTGCGAGACATTCGTAATGCATACAACGTCGTCGTATTGGTGAGTGTGTATATATGTGTTTGTGTTGTATTAAATCGCATGTGTTATGCCAAAATCCGTTCAAATTTTGGGTTTATTAAATTATGTTCTTCCGATGGACCTATTGTATATTATGTTTTTTTTTCTCCATCTCCTTCTCTCATTTTTTTTTCTTCTTCTCTTTATTATTGTTGTTGGCAGTGTTATGGCGCTGAACAAGATCGTAAAATGGGAATCAATGATGAAGATATGAATGTGTTGTCGGCCAGAGAGTTCGTTGCATGGTATAATGGGTTGCCGGATTGTCAAGAACGTTATGAGTTGATAGAAAATCAGTTGCAAAATGCTGAAACAATCACACTGATTGGTCAAGGCAATGTTGCTGTTGATGTTGCTCGCATTTTGTTATCGCCAATTGATACTCTTAGCAAAACTGATATCACAAGTCGAGCATTATCAACGTTATCCGAATGCAATATTCGTAATGTGCATTTGGTTGGTCGACGTGGACCGCTTCAAGCCGCATTCACGATAAAAGAGCTCCGTGAAATGTTAAATCTATCGAATGTATCAACCGTTTGGCGTAAAACTGACTTCATTGGCATCGATGATCAAACCGTAACCAAACTACCTCGCCCCAAAAAACGAATCACCGAATTAATGCTGAAGAATGTTCACGCATCGCCTACGAATCTCGCATCGACCACCAAACAATTTTCACCCATATTTTTCCGTAGTCCAAAGCATGTGGAGAATGCGGGCCGTGAAAAACGACTTGTGTTAACAGCAAACCGATTGTCTGATACGGAAGCAGTAATACCGACAAACGATATCGAAACACTGGATACAAACTTAATACTAAGGAGCATAGGTTATAGAAGCGTAAATGTTACGCACAGCGATGATTTGCTGAATTTCGATACTGGCAAAGGTTTGGTGTGCAACAATCAAGGCAGAGTTCTTAAGTCAATTGATCGAAATAGTGTTGCATCGTCCAGTGGCAACGATGATGATAAATATGAACGTGGACTATATGTCAGCGGGTGGTTAGGAACTGGACCCACTGGTGTGATACTTACAACGATGAACAACTCATTCCTTGTTGCAAAAAATATTTGTGAAGACATTCAAAGCGAACGCATCGACTGTTCACCGAAGCCCGGTTTAGATACCACCAAGTATTCGGCAGCTATAAGTTGGAAAGACTGGATCAAAATCGACAAATACGAAACGGAATTGGGTGCATCAAGTGGAAAACCACGCGAAAAACTTTTGCACACTTCAGAAATGCTGAAAATTTTAAAATAATTTATTTCCTCGCCCGAAGAATGCTGTAACTTCTACAATTACAACTATTTTCTTGCGTATGGTGGTATACTTTGTATCGCATACACTCGAAATGCCCTCACACAAATCATAATTTTGTTTCTGTAAGAAAAATAATAATAATACTTAACACTTGCTAAGTTTCCATGTGAAGTGAAAAATAAAGCACAATAAAATTAATGATGTTTTTCCTCATTTCTGTTGCGTCTGCGAAATGTCGAAAGAAATTCCCACGATACCGGATGAGACTCCAAATGCCGTCTAAATCAGATTTGTATAGATTTTCTTTAGTGAAGAGAAGGAAAAAAAACAACAACCAACAACAACCAACAAATAAAAAAAAAACGAGAAAAATGAAAAGCAGTAATCCACTTTGGTCTGGAATGCGATTTATATATACTGTAACCGACTGCATGTTTTTGCTATAAAAACGAAAATAAAAATCAAGAAATATGTATAAATAACCGAATAAGAGAAAAAGATAATTTTTAAGAAGGCATCGTCCCACGGCGAGCCATTTTGTTTCATCAACGGAATACTCTCGTTCACCTTTGCCGCGCCACAAAAATTTATTCCCTTCATCCAATGGCGAGCACATTCATCGTCATTGTCGTTGTCGTTGTTGTCGTCGCCGCCGCTGCCGCCGCCGCCACCATCACCATCATGGTGTCATCACCCCAGTCGCCGTTATACTCCTCGCGCTCGCTACTGGCATAAGTCAAACGGCATTTTCTCAGAAAAAAAATAACAATAACGACTTACCTCATTAAAAACTGAGTCAACCAACAACATAGGAGTAGGCAAACAACAGCGCGAAAAGAAGAAGAATGTGAAAAATAAGAGAAACAACACACACAATTTTTTATGTCTTTTTTTATAACTTTATTTTGTAACTTGTTTCTTTTTTGTTGTTGTTGTTGTTGTTATTTTCTATGCTCTGTATGTACATTCGTAATTATTCTTAATGTTCCCCTGAATTCACATTTCAAAAGTGTTTGCTGTGTGTGTATCAGTGAAATATAGACTCACTCGTCACTTTGAAATGCGTTCGCAGGGAAATTTTCTCTTTATTTTTTTTTTTTCTTTCTTCTTGTTGTTGTTATCAGTATTATGATTCGCATTGCCTGGAACAACGCAACTATACACACACACGCACACATCGTATGATTGCATGGAAAATCGCCCATTTTCATCAAACCATGACGAAATATTGAGAGTGAACGAGCGACGCATTGTTTTCCTCTCTTCATCCTCTCTATGATGTTGTTCCCTATTCTCTATTTTTCAATATCATATCATTTTCTTCTTTTGTTCGCTTGTCGATGCGTCATCATTCGGCGATGCTTCGATGGCAGGTGAAATGGCGCGCTGGTCCTTATGCCGCAACCCAATTCCATGTAAGCCAACTTAGCTGTGAAACTGTGCGGGCATTGTTTTGTTGCGCACGTTCTGTATGCTTTTTGCGGCTGTTATTCTTTGTTTGTGTGTTATTTTGATACAAGAAGATGTCGCTTATAAAATTACAACACATTTATAGAATTTTTTTAAGTTTTTTTTTTTTTACTTATTATTCTCGTTTGTTTTTTTCTCTTTTGGTTTGGTTTGGTTTGGTTTGGTTTTGCTTCTGTCATTTTCTCTATTGATTACTGTATTAAATAATATAAAACTTTCTACATTGACTCATGTAAATGTGATAAAGGAATATTTCGTTCAGTTATTATCATGTTCATTATTTGAATTTTTATGATGAATGAGCTAATAAATTTTCTCGTCATTTGGTTGTTTGATGTTGTTGTGTTGTTTTCATTTTGCTCTGTATGCGTGTGTATGTGTATTATTGAGATTTGAATGGGAGCGGTAATGGCATGAAATTGGAAAAAAGTTTTCACTTTGATTTTAAGTTTCATCATCTTCTTCTTCTTCTTCTTTTTTTTAAATATACATATATATATAAGTTTTTTTGTTCAAATTATTTTTGTTTTGGCAATTAATCAATTCAGTATTCAATCACTACAATCAATAGACTATTCAATGATACACAATCGTTAAAAAATAGATATTATTTGGTTTTTTTTTTGGCTTCGATTTTTTTTTTATATTTTATAAACGGATTCTTTTTATTATTATTATGTTTTTAATCTGGTTTGAAGAATTGTTGTTTTGTTTTCATATATTCTTATTATTATTACTATTATTATTATTTCATTAGATTTTTTTTTTGGTTTAATTTCTTCATAATTAAATCAATGCATATTAATCAGCATATAGAGTCAATAGGATACGTCATAAAAGTCCTCGTTAATACACTTCAATGACGTTTCATATCAAGTTTTTGCAAAAAAAAATAACTTTCTTTTGTATGCCATTTAATGTCTGTCTGTGTGCTTCTTTCAAGTAAGAACTTATTAGATTTTTTCTCTTGACAGTTTCATCCCACTCAACGCAGCAAATGCGCTTAGCTCTTTTATTCTCTGGTTAAGAACTATAGCGTGTAGCTTGTGTTTTAATGTGTTGCTTTACTTAACTTTCATCACATCATAAGTATCGTTTCATGTCAATTTGAGAGTTTTTTTTTTGCGTGTGTATGTCTCGTGCACAAACACACAAACACATTCCCAATCAAAAGTATCATCATTTCTTCACCAACTCGGTCCGCACTCTGTGTGTAAGCTTCATATTTTCGAATTTTTGGTGTGTTGTTTACCCATGTATAATATATGATGGGATGATGAGGCAAGACAGGCAAAGGGAAATGACATCAACTTTCGTCAAAAATCTAATAAATTCTTTAATCTGCATTAAAATTCGCGCTCATGCTCTTTCGCTCTCTTCCTCTCTCTATCCCTCACACTCACTCTCTCATGTAATTCAAATGTGGAATAAAACATAAATCAATGAATACGAGAGTATGCACAATAAAGCGACCACAGAATGCACAGAGAATGACTGAAAAAGGGAAAGGTTGCGGGAGAGGAAGAGAGAGTGAGAGAGAGATAACGACACAGAAAAAAGAGATGGAGAGAGAGAGAGAGATGGAGAGAGAGAGAGAGAGGAGAGTACAGAGGAAAAAAAATACCGTACGTATACCGTATATAATCAAGTCACTTTTATGAATTGCTAATTACGTCGATGAGCGCATGCAAAAATACTTCCTGCGGAAATCACCGACACAATGATATGGCTTGAAATTTCACCTTTTTCACCGCAATTATTTCCGAAATCCGGTGATTCCGAACGAGACACGGCGAAAGTTGGCGAAAAAAAAGTCATTGCATTTTTACATAATATTCAATCCACCGACTGACTGACTGCCTTGCCTGGCGTATACGGTGTGTGTGTGTGTGTGTGTGTGTGGTGAAATAGAATAGAGCGCGAGATAAGAATTAATCATAGCATATGCTAAATGCTGATAAAAAGGCATTGATGAAAATCGGTAAAATGGCGACTATCCAACGACAATGTTGAATAGTGACTTGGAGTGTGTTTTAGTTTAGAACGAATAGAAAAAAAGAAACAATAATAAGAGACTAAAACCTCCCCATGTCCATCTATGCGAAATATATATATATATAGTTTATCCCCGGCACGAGGACAGTATTCGTTTTCTATACAATGTGTCATGTTGCTGTTGCTTCTTCTTCTTTATTTCTTTACTTGTTCCTATGTAAACTAATTTTTCATGCGCATTCCATGTTGCGCCACTATGTTTGTCTGTCATGTACGATGACATCTTCCGATAGCTACAATTCATCCATCAGCCATATTCGTGTGGCTAATGCATCGATACTTTTACTTCATTTTTTTAGGGTTTTTTTTTTCTTCCTTTTTTGACTTTTGTTTTTCGTTCTAATATTTCTATTCTTCAAACGATCCAGTTTTCCTTCTTCTTCTTCTTCTTCATCATATTTAAAATAATTTTATGCTAAAAAGTATAAACGTTCCATTTTGGAAATAAGAACCTAGCCAACTTGTGTTTGGTCATTAAGTCAAAATTGCGCTATCAATGTCAACCGATACAATTGGTTATCTAAAGGATGTCTCAACTATATATTTTTTTAATATCAGAGGATCAAAGCGAAACAAACGAAAAACAAAACTGTTTCACTTGTTATATCCTTGGTGAGCCGCCGCCAAATTAGTTTGTTACGTATAGTTTGTTTTGTGGTGCATTCCATGTGTATAAAACATTTATACATATTATGGTTAGTTTTTTTTTTTTTTATTCTCGATCCATTAAAATATCACGTATAACTCGAACAACAAGGTTCTTTCTCACAAAATAATAGAAAGAGATGAAGAGAAATAAAGAGAAGGATACAGATACCGAAATATAAAGCAAGATGGAGTGAAATGAGCAAAAAAAAAAAATTAACAATTTCATCGGAAAATACCGGCCGTTTAACCGTTGTTTCCATTTTTTCCTTTCATTTCGCTCCTCATCTTCAGCTCTCAGCAATCAAAATTAATAAAGAAAATTGCATCTAAAGTGAGCTTAAGTAGCCTCTTAAATGAAGTTCGAAATAGTTTCCGTCAAAAGCGAGACGAGAAATTATTCATCAAATGCACACACACACACACACAATCTCTTTATGTTTTTTCCCAGTTTAGAAATTCATTTATACTCGTGGATTCACACACACACACACACATACAGAGGGAGAAAGAGAACAAAACACAGATGAGAAAATGAGAAAATAAAACCGCAATACAATTTTTTCCACTTGTGCTTGTGTCTTTCAAATGTAATTGCGAACTGGGTGAATCTGTCAACAAATAATGATAATAGATATGTTCCTTTTCAACGCGTCACACGAAAACAAGGTTAAACATCAGATTTTAAGATGGGAAAACGAGAAAGAGAGAGATAGGGACAGAGGAACAGAGGGAGAAAGAGATGAAGGAAAGGGGATGGGGATGGGGAGGGTTTGTAGTGAGAAAGAAATAACAACAACGTTTGTTTAAAATAAAAAGAAAAACGAAAAACAACAGAACAAAGTATTCCCTATGAATATGAATTATGAGCTAGATTTTTTTATTCATCATCCTCCCGCGGAAATGCTCTTGCCCAAAAACTGCTGATATTTCTCTCTTCGTTTTTTAACGACGCCGTCACACACATTCTCTCCTATTTATTTATTATTATTCTCTTCTTTTTTTTCGGTTGCTGTTGTTGTAGTTCAGTACATTCTTTTGTTTCGTTTTCTGCTCGGTTTTATTATTTATTTTGATTATAGTCAGTTCAAAGTAAAAATCAAGGGAAAAAAAATTATTCATGCTAACGCAAGGAAATGAGCTGTGTAAGCTGTTATGTGAAGTTTTCTCGGGTTTTATGTGTGTGTGTGTGTGTGTGTGTGTACAACGAGAATTCAAAATTATACTCATTGTGCACATCATGCGCATTTTGTTGTTGTTGTTCTTGTTGTGTTTATTTGAGGGGGTGGCATTCAGCGTATTGTAATCGAGATAATTACATAGAAATCATTAATCACATGCCTCACTTTTGATCCGTTAATCAAGTTTGATTTTGGCGTGCATCGAATTTTTTATTCGAGAGCATTAACATAAAGTAAGTCTCTCACAGGGTTGAGACGATGCGGGGGGTTATAGCCGTACAGCTCTTGCGCCCCACATAAATGCTGACTCGATTGATTTAGAATTTGCGCGCATGTGTATGCGTTCGAATGGAATATACGCACGCTTTGAAAAGTTTGCGTGTAATTTAAAAGCCCAAATTAACTGTTGCATTCAATGCGATTCGTAATTTCTCCGTTGAAATGAGACAGAGAGAGAGAAAGAGAGAGAGAGAGAGAGAGAGAGATCCAAAAGAGATAATTCCTCGATTAATGCAATTGCTGCGCCTTCTTCACTCTGCTTTGCATTTTAACTACGTATGAATTCATTTATATTGAAGAATGCCTTCCGATTTACCCCATGTCATTGAAAGTATTCCTTCTCAAAGTAGTAAGTTTTTTCCTTTTCCTTTTCCCCTTTAATGGATCGCATAAGACTTTATTTGGTTGTTCTAATGATTTGCTGGGTTGAAATGTGTCGAAAATAAAATTCATTGTCGATTTGTTGTTGTTGTAACCAGGTACTTTCAAGCATAACATGTTTCTTCTTTAAATACATTCAGTTTTTTGTAACTACTAAACACTAAACTAAAAAAAAAGCGAACAAGAATCATCATTTCTCTTCTTGTGTCAATAGTGACGGAACGAATAAGAATTGTTGTTTGTTAGTTTTTGCATTTAAGTAAATCAGTGAAGTTTTTTTTTTGCTCAATCATAAGATGAAAGATTAGTGAGGATGAGAATCGCATCCAAATTCAAAACATATTTCCCTACTCGTTTGTGTTGCTGTTTTTTTTTTTGCTGTTCTGTTTCATTTGCCTGACATGTTGTTTTTTTTATTCTATATCATAAGTAGCCCGAATTGAGTATCATCAGCCAGTGTGTCTGCTCGAAATCATAAGGAAATGAATGTGTCAACATGCTTTTAACTCCGATGACTGTTAAATGCTGCATAGCATAGTCCAATTGTCTCTCCACGCGCGCCACATAATACTCTATGTCTTTCGTACAGCAAAAAAAAAATGCGAGCGATTGTGTGTGTGGTCTTTCTATTTAGATGCGATTTGCTGTACAGTGTAATAATGAGCCAGATTTTGGCAGCACAGAGGAAAATGACGACAACGACGATGAGCACTTGGTGTGTGTTTCATCGCTATTTGATGTGCGAGCGTGCGTAGAAATCTAGAGAATGGGGCGGCGGTATTTGGCATGAATCAAAAATGCAAATGGATAACGTGCCAATTTCGATAAAGACTAAACAACAACAAAAAATAAACAATATGTGGCGAAAGGCATTAGCCCATTGTTCCATCGTGTTAAAATGATTCTTGAGTTATTTTTTTTTTTGTTTCATTCTTTTGGTTGCACGTATTTCCCAAAATTGAACGAAATTAACACGAAATGAAGAACAGCCGCTTCTGAACGCAAAGAACAAACGGAACATGTGTGTGGTTTAATGGAGCAATTCATTGGAAAATATTTTCTTTCATAATTCTTCAAAAGGCTTAAGGCGAATGTACTTTTTTTGACTAAAAATTTTGTCGTGTTTTTTTTTCTTCGTTAAAATTATTCAAAAAGGAAATAGAGTAAATTTTGTTTCAGTTGAGCTAATAGTCATCAAAAAGTTTTTAAGCGAGCAAAAGTTTCATTGGAAGTTCTTTGGTGAGATTTGATTAGTGTTTCAAATAAAAGTGACCTCCGTCCAGTTGTTTGGAGTCTTGAACCATTTTTTATTTTGATTTTTGATATTTTTCAGATTTTGCTTTTGCCGGAACAAAAATGTCTGATTAGTGTTGATGGCGGAGCTAGAGATTTTGACAAAAAAAAAACTAGAAAAAACTTTTCCGTCAGACGATAAGATGCCAACATTGAACATTATAATCAATACATCATCAAAATATCGACTGCGACGACGCCGGTCACTTTTTTTTTTTTTGAAAACGAATCATTTGCCCTAAAAAGTGGCAAAGTCGTTTAAAACACAGTAATAAAAATTAAAGAGAGAGAAAAACCATGGAAAATAAATGTTTTCTTGGTAGGGCTCAAAGCGCTAACAAATTGGCAAAGGAGTTGAACACCACAACAAAAGTGACTTTTTTGGTTATAGTGAGCACAAGAGCACCAAACGGTTCTGATGATAGACGTTTCTTTTATAAATGAGCTTGGTTGTTATCAGCCGTGGTGCACTTGAGGGCTAACCCTAAAAAATGGACAGCTTTCGGTCGTTTTTTTCCTCATTCCTTCCATTCGTTCATGGAAGTACTTTATGATTTCGAATTGAAATTTAAGATAAAAAAAGTGGCAAAATTTCAACATGGAAACCACAAAGTATCAGAGCTAAATGAACTGGACTTCGATTAGATCGTTTCAATTAGAAAAAAAAGTGTTGGATCGTGTTTTTTGGCAAAAAAAAATGAAGAGATTCACATCGAATATCTTCGTTTTTTTTTAATTTCTTCAAACCTTCTCGTTGTTATACGCCTCTTTTTTTTCCGGCAACTTCATGAAATTGGATTTTTTTTTCTTTCGTCTAAATGTTGCTTAAAAGAACACACTCATAATCATATGCATTACACCGGAAAAACTGTCGACATAAAATATTAAAATAATCGCTTATTTAATGGGAATAAAATTTCTGTTTTTTTGTTTCTCGCAAGAGTGCCAAGAGTCTCGGTGCTTTTCATTGAAGGCTGGAATCTAGTTGGCTTAATTTCTCCTTCGCGTTTTTCTCCTTCTTCTTCTTCTTCTTCTTCTTCTTTTTCTTCTTTTTTTTCATCATCTCCTACTATGGTCTTTGTTTGTATTCCTTTTTATTTTTGCTATTTTCTCTTATTCACTTTTGGAAACCGTTAAAAAAATAAGCAACATTCATCGATTCCATGTTCAATGGCTAAAACAAACGCTCACGTATACAATTTATCGTCAAGCAGTGCTATTTGACAAATATTGCCTCAATACAAGTAACAGTAAATCATTGTCATAAGCTAAATTACTAGACTAATCAAATTTCTTTTTTTGTTTTGTTCGAAATCCCTCGAGCCAATCGTGTGCCATGCAGCGCGCATCGCACAATGATAGCTTAAGGGTGTGTGTGTGTGTGCGCGCGCGCGTCATCGCACTCATTGGTTCCCGTGAATTTTATAGACATTATTGTGTTCCAATTATTATTATTAAAGATTATCATTATCATTTTTTTGTGTTTTAAATTATCATTCACAATTTCTATACTCTAATTTTTTTTGTGTTCTTTATGTTTGTTTATTAGATTCGTTCTTTTTTTTTGGTTGTTCTTGTTGTTGTTCGTATTTGATTTATGATTTTTTTTGTTTTGTTTTTTTTTTCGAATAAACTTAGTAATAAGTAAAACCAACTAGCTACTAGAGCTTACCACCCCGATAGTATCCTGTTCGATGGGATCCAAACAAAATTCGTTTAAATGCTTGTCTAAACTCGGGACTAAATATTGTATAAATAACGGGATTCAGTGTTGAGTTGAAATAACCGAGCCACAGAAAGAGCGAAGCGACTTTATCATTCAAGGAACACGTTTCACCACACAGCGGCAACACTAAAGCCATTAGAAAAAACGGCAACCAGCACACCACAAACGCACCCGTTATGATAGCCAACGTTTTGGCTGCCTTTCGCTCTCGCTTCGTTTCGATTGTCTCCTTGCGAGATTTCGAACTCTGAAAAGACACACACAGAGAAGAAAAGAAGCAGAAAAATTATCGAAATGAAAAATATGTCGGGAAAGAAAGGAATCCATACAAATTACAATAAAATTGGCAGAATATGAATTGTTCGGGGGGGGGGGGGGGGGGGACGCCATAAAATACAAAACAAATCACGAAGAAACATATTCAACGGAACAATCTCTCTTTAAACTCTTGACTAAATTGAAAATATATGCCGAATTTATTTACCCATCCGTATTCGATTCGGTGTATGATAAATATTTACACTCTATTTTTTCAACACCAGTGAATATCAACTTCCATTCTTTTCGCGGGCGCGTGAAAATAAAATATATTTCATAAAAGAATCTTTTTTCAAAATGTAACAACATTTTTATACAACTCAAATAATAAATCGTTCCGATTATTATGCGATTGCTTCAACAATTCGAATATAGAATAAACGAACCATTATGGAATGTGCCACTAACACACACACTCTCTCTCTCTCTCTCTCTCTCTCTGCTCTATCGTACATTATATTCTGCGCAGAAAATGTTCATTGTTCTATGGGATGATTGCAGTGCCGTACGCATCAAAGAATTCTCAAGATGTCACGGTTTGGTTTATTACACACCATCAAAGCAACAGCATCATCATATTGTATTTCGTTGTAGTCATCGTCGTCGTCGTCGTCCTCTTTGTTTCATGTGAAATGTGTGATGTGTTGATGGAGAAAATTCAACGCTTGTGAATTGTGGTACCTATTCGTGCGACTGAACCCATATTGAATTACCACAAACGCACTGGCAAAAGTAATATATACGGTATTCTCGCGAATATAACTCTGAAGAGGATGCTTATGGGAAATTCTGTCAATATTTCGATGATTCTCGTTGAATTCGTCTGGAAAAATAGCCTTCAAAACCCACTGATACAATCTATAAGAGTTGTGTGGATGATTTTAATGCGCTGTATTACTCAATTTGAATGTATCACATTTCCCAGCTGTATTTTTGAGGCAAACGAAATCAAAGTCAAAAATTTACCCCAAAATTTCAATTATTCGTTGAATGATTTTGACTTTTGAAGCATTCGCGCTGAATTCTTCCTGGATTTTGAGAAAACGGAAGTATTCATCAAAGTAAACGAACACCGACCACCGACCACTGTTTATGTCTTTTGATACCTCATGGAAACAGTATTCGTTTCGGTTGATTACAAGCCATTCTTCTCATTCTTTTTCGCTTGCTCTTTCTCACTCCCTTCGCCTAACTCTTTTAAGTGCCAATTTCATGGAAAATTTATAGACAATACAAAGGGAAAAGAGACAATTTTAGGTGTAATGACCGGCAATAACTCAATGAAAGAAATTGATCTGAATAAAACATTTACACTTGTACATTCCCACGCAAATCATGCTCCAAACGAATTGAGTCATGCATTGCCGAGTGTATGTAATGTACATTTATGTGGGTCCACAAGGACCATTCGTCTTCGTATGGTCAGATTCAAATACAAAGTGAGCGAGAGAGAGAGAGAGAGAGAGAGAGAGAGAGAGAGAGAGAGAGAGAGCTACAATGTGCCATACAGAGCGCAGTCATTGCAATATTAATATTTCTCATTGCTGTCAGGTGACTGGTAGCTCAGGCAACCAAGAGTGTGCACTGTATATATATTATTTACAGCCGATATTCTTTTTCTCCGAAATTGTTTTTTTTTTCGCTTGCCTTTTCGGTTCGAGCAACGCACAAAACACTCAATGCCATACAAATATGAATGAATAGACGCGACGGATACTTTCATCACTTTTAACTTTATAAAAATTCCATGAAATCTGACAATATTCTCAGCGAAATGGCTCATTGCCACAGACTTTGCCACGGGGCACACATTTCTTGGAATTCATACATATGTGTCGCAGACTTTGAAAGTACATAAATGACATTCAAGAATTTAAGTAAGAAAGAAAAAATGCGTTACAAAGTAATTTGAGAGCAGTTTGCTGCGCTGTTCATCCAATAATGTCCATCCAAAATGGAATAGCGAATCGAATAGATGATATTGGAAAATATGAGAAATTTCAATATATTTTCAGCATAAAAATGTTACCATAGAGATACACGCTGGCAAACCTCATTTCCACAGAAATAACACAAGGTCGGTCAAATCAAATCGAATGTCGTCAGACTTTTTTTCGCCGAACGCTTTTTTTCCTTACTCAAAATCGGACATTTTGAAGTGATGGCTCCCAGGTTTGTCGTCGTTAACTTTGTCGACGATATTAGTTTTAAATCACTCTCATTTTTATTTATTTGTCATGTTGATGGATTGACATGCAAACTTTGGCCAGCAAAAGTATGTATAAATCAAAATACTCAGCACGCATGCTGAACAAGTTCAATTCGAAACGTGTAATCAGGCTCCATTTTCATAAATCGAAAATGAAAAGTAACATTCATGTGTATCGCAATGAGGAAGCAAATCCTGGATACAATGCGCATGTTGTTGGGAAAATCATATCTGCACGCGAAAATTACGTTACAAATCACAACAAAATTGGTTTCTGTTGAACGCACGTAAATTTTGCGTGTCGATTTCTTTTCCCCTAATCCCGGATTCATTACATACATAGCACATCAATTTTCCCATAGTTGTGCTCTTTACTATCTCAAATCACTAATTGTGTACCCATATAAATCTTAACGCAAACAGCAAGACAAATGCGTTCCCAAAGCGAAACGGGCAATCACGTCGAATTGTTTTCACTATGGCTATCATTTAATGCGAGATACAACACAACAGGCTGCGTGTTCTCGCAACTACTTCTATGGAGTAAATGAACAGATTTTCCACATTTTATTTTCCAACGGACAAGAATTATTGATGCTGTTATATTTTTTTTTCTAATTCGTCAAGCGTTTTGACATTCTATGGTTTCATCTCAATCTCGTTTGTCAGTATGTCCAATGTTTGAGGGAGCGTGTGAAGAATGTGGCAAACTATAGAATCCATAGAAATCATCTCAGACTAAAGCAATCGCAATGATATTTCGCTGAATGCTTAAGAGATTTCGAAACTTGGAAATTGCTTAATAGTATTGTATTGAAGTGTACTTGTCCACTGTTCAAATTTCCCTTTCCGTTTACTCTCTTGGTGAATGGATTGCGTTTCAAAAGTTTGCAGCATTTTTCTATCAAACGATATAAGATTTCCTCTTATAAGACTTCTAAATTCAATCTTATTTCTTCATTTCACACCAACATAATGCGCAGTTAAATAGAAATTACATTTGGGAAAGAGGATAAGTGTTTAGATATTTAGGAATCAACTCTGGCGCGTTGCCATGCAGAGTCTACGCATCATGGAATCCTACTCTAGAGAGTCATTTGCGCCCTGGCTTTCCAGACAAATGGCACATCGTTTGTTGTCACACCAAATCGTTTCACTTCAAATTGATTTTTACAGATTGCAAGTGACTCAATACGTTGATGGTTTTGAGTTCTTTCAAGCTGCGCTGATTTGCAAAAACGAAATTATGTTACCGTCGTTTTTTCGTATGTGGATTTATCGAAGGCGTTTTTCAAAAATCTTCATAGTCTAAAGGACATGTACAAGGGTCGAAGGTTCCAGAAAGGTGGGCTCCACAAAAAAAAAATCTTTACATATAAAAAAATCTCAATTTCATTCAGTATTCCTCAATACGCTTGTCATTTACGTTAGCCCAGCGAACGCAATGAGAGACAGAGAAAGAATTTAATCGTTTTGGTAAATTCTGTTATCGATTCTGACAACAACAAAAAAATTCTGAAAAGCTAACAGAACCATCGATATAACAATTAAAGCCATTTATTTTTACGTCAACACCAAATAAACGGCAACTATGTATAACAGCTATTGTGATTGGTTAATTATTAATTGAATATTAAATGGCGCTATTGGAATTTTGATCTGATAACAGTTTTTAATTGATATTGATTTTCCAGTTTGTTTCGAAAGTGGTTAAATTTTGGATAAAAATTCGTTTGCTTTTTAAATAACTATTTTCAACGCGTCTGTGTAATTGGTATTACATTGTTGTTGTTGCGCTTGAGGAATTTTTATTTCCATTTATATATGAATATGACAAGCGAAATTACATTTTGATCAAAAGCAAATGTGCAGCATTTTAATTTGGCGCAAATTTCATCGCAAATAAATGAATAATAATCGAATTTCGCTGTTCAACATCTCTGCCCCTTTTTTGCCCGTACAAATACTAATATGCATGCCATATTTTCATCGTGTTGATACTTCTTAAAATGTATTTTCATTTTAAATGGGACAAAATCATTATTGTAGAAATTATCTGTGATATGCAATGCTTGAAGGTATAATATTCCACTGTCGCAGATGGAAAAGTCTAAAAGGAATTGGGATAGAATTCAATATTTCAATCCAAAATGAAGGCAAAGTGATGATATATTATACGTGCATGGATGGTGGCTCTTATCTAGAAGAATTCTTCTAGATAAGAAATTCTGATCCAGAATATAAACCCCATTTAATAGAATATAGCCTGGTTCACAATATAGTCAACACTTTCCGTCCATGTATTTCAAATGGTGTCGTACTATTACATAAAATGGACAGTAACAAAAATTCATTGAAAAACGGGCATTTTTTGCCGCTTTTTGTCACTTTGCCAGTTATATGTGGACTGGAGATGAAGTGATCCAGTGATCATCTTGACTTCATCGTAAAGCCAAAGTCTTGTAGATAAATTTGGCATCTTCCAGATTGGAATTCGTATTGAAAACTCTGAAGAGTTGACTTTCTATATTATGATAATGAAAATCCGGTTAAAATGCATTTTTATGTCTCAAGCATAGCCAAAGCAAAAACATATGTGATTTTCATTCAAAGCAGTATCAAATGGTTCAGGATATTTTGTGGTGACCCTGGCTTCGCGATAGAAGAAATAAACTGAACAAAATTCCGAAAATATTCCAACAGTATTCAGAATTCACCAC